TACAATGATTAACACACTGCATGTATTTCTGGGGAGAAACTGAGAGGCCACTGATCTGCTCAGCTCCTCTACAGATGCAGTAAGGATTCTGCAGGCTTTGAATTTTTTTCTCCAGCTAACCTCCCCTCTGGGAGCAAATTTCAGTCAAGCTTGTGACTACAGCAAAGATAGAAGAATCCTATCCCAGAGCTGCTGCTTTGCATCTTTAGCTGCTTTGCTAACAGCTTCAGGCAACTAGGTTACAGACAGAACCAAAATAACTCTTCTGGCCAGCAGGAATGTGCGCTCCAAAACCTGAACTCTGCACAGACACTCAGGCTCTACGCTCCTTAACCCACACCATTAATCTGTTCAAATTGACCTACAGATAAGACATAACGCAGGTTTCATATTTCATGTTGAACAGTAAATAAGAAGAGGAGCTGAAGCCTTCTGAACACAACGTGCCGTTTGTTACACCATGTAGAAGACCAGCATCCTTACTGCAGTCTTTACAAATCGTTAATATCTGGTCTCTCTCAGAATTAACATGCAGTTGTGTTAAATAATTCAGCTTTATTTCAAGTACTGGTAAGTCAGCAACTACAGGCCTTTTTCCTTTTTCTATGAAGTTGCATTTGAAGTTGGCTGCATTGAAAAGAACAGATGACAGCACTCTGACCTGTGATTTGATATGAAGGATAAGCTATAGAGCAAACTGAAGTACTAGGAGCTGTTACCACTAGCCTCTAAAAATGTATTTCCCCAATTGTTAATTTAAGTAAAGCTCAAAGTTATGTATTTCTACTGATTTTAAATTGAATCCACAGTGCAACTTTTATTTTTTTGCCTGACAGTAACATCAGTAACAGTTTGTGTCACTAACTTGGTGCTTGGTTGCTTGGTTCCAACTCTAATGCAGCATGAGGGCCATTTAGGTATTATGAATGGGAGATGAAAAGGTTTTTGGCTTTAAACAATCACCTGAAGACAAGCAATAACTACAGGGAAACCCAAACTACATTAGTACTACGTAAAGCAAATTTGAGGGCACACATCAGTCCCTAAGTAAACAAGACCAGAGGGAGCAAACAGTACTCTCAAAGTCTGGGTAGCACTGACTATCCAGTTACTGATGTCTGCATCGCAACTACACCGAAAGAACACAATGACTTACAATAAGTCTAAGACATTCACAACACCAGGACCAAAGAAAGGTTTTCCAAAATCACTTCTGAAACACTTCCCAAGGAAGGCTAACACGAATTCTAACACTAAGGTAAAGCACTAGATTAATACAGCGTTCTTTAGAGAAGCTCTCTGGCCGTAAGCATTCACACAGCTCTAACGCACTCATTGTAAAATGCAACACTGACAGCTAGGCACCATCTTACACTCACAAATTAAGGCAAAATGGGAAACAAGCTCATGTTTCAGACAGAACAGAAACAGATCCAGGAAGTTCAGGTTTCAAAAAACAATTCCCTTGTCATGGTCTAGAATACAGAAGCACACTGAAATGCAACACAGACACACTTCTGCTCACACCTGGAGCTACCGCACTGAGGGAAGCAAGCACATGGGACCAGGCAGACACAAATACTGACAGAGAAGCACATAATATACTTGGGCTTATTCAGAGTTTTTAAAGTCTTTCACAAGTCCTGCCTTCAGCATTCTGAGACACAAGCCCTCAGTCGCGAGCTGATGCAGTCTGACCTGCAAACGCCACGCGTGCTCACTCTGCAGAGCAGAGCTCTCCCTCTAAGACCACAAAAATGCCTGTGATTCCCAAAGGATGAGGTCTTCTGAGAACTGAGAACTACAACAGCTGCAACAATTTTAAAATGTGAAGCATTCTAAGGCAAAAATCACAGCTTTTTCAAGAAAGCAAAGTGGAAGGGCAGATGCCATGCAATCTGAAAAGCTAAGCACGTTGCACTGAAGTTACCACCATGCACTACAGACCAAAAGGAGGCTGCACCAAGAAAAAGCATTACAAAGTTATTGCGTTCTACCAATGAACTTTGAAGCAGGGCATGAAAGAGTAAGTGACAAAGATTCCAAAGATTCAAGAACTCCATCTTAGCTTTTCCAAACCGCCAGAAGAGGTTTGATTTAAACTGGGTGGTGCCCCAAGGCATTCAAATCAATCCCTCCTGTATGAGAAATGATACTTTTAATCATACAACACCCATTTTTGTCAGCTCTCATCCCACTGCATATGTGATGTGTAGCATATGCTACAATTAGGAACTTTTGCTGTTATTTTTTGTGCTACCTGGGCCAAAATATATGTGTAAGGAGATCTGCTGCTCTGGATGAGCCACAATGTGTCAGCTTTGAACACGCATGCTAAGTACACGTTAGTAAGAACTGATACAAAAGTTTTCAGAGCAATCTAATATATGTATTTTTCCAGAGAAAAGAAACTCATTTCAGCAGCAAAATGACAAAGTCTGAATATTTAATATGTAATAGGAAGGAAGAATGTAAGTTGGACCCACAGTAAGCATACAATGAGGATTCATTTTCGTATTAAAAATGAAGCTGCATGCTGTGGAGCTGTACTGTTTCAATGAATTCTACATACTGAAACAGGTGCAGCCTACTGCATTTTAGTCACACGTACAGTGTCAGTTTTTCAATCTGCCATTTACCCTTGAGTGAACGTTTTAAATCTCTAAGAACAAATGCAAGCATGTGGGTACAGAACTGCCACTAGCAGCCATGCTACCAGAATTGCCTCATTAACTTGAGCTACTCTGTGTTAGCCTAAAAAAAACCGAGAGTAAAACAGAAGGTAAAGTTTGGCTGCTCAACATAAAAACTAATGGGCATCGACAGGAAGGAATTCAAACTCAACTCCAGAATGTCCTAATTTTATTTGAGTTGGTTAATCAATTTTGAAGCTTTTTTTTTTTAAACAGTTTACATAACTTAATGGAACATGTCCTATAAATGTAAATTAACATTTTTCAGAACTCAAGACAGCACAACAAAGTAAGATTTTGAAATAAATTACTTGTTTAGCAATCATGTGGATCAAGGGAAAACATACAAGAGGAAGGAAAAACAGCATCAATAAAACACTGTTTGTTAAGTTCCAGACTGAATTTGTGCTTCTACACACACAAAAAAAACCCCACAACACTGAAGTAACAAGAATTCTGCAAAGAACTTGAAAAAGGACGTAACATCTCTAGTCCCAAAATCAAAGTACACATTAATGCCCACTAGCAGTTTGGTTCTCTGAACTTAACATGAGAAAGAGAAATTTAAGAGAGGCTCTGTTCTAAACATGCATTAAATTACAGCATTTTTTTAGATAGGTAGTAGTAGGTGGAAGTTGAACCAGCTGTTTTGCAGGACAAATATGAACAAATCTTTGTTGTATTTAATAATTGATGCATTTGTTAGTACAAAGTAGATGATGTTCAGTAAGAAGGCATTAAATGATCAGCTGAAAACACCATGCTATTTTCCTAAACGTGAAGCCAGACTACAGAACTTGGTGAAGGCCAGATGTTCAAAGCTTGTGCAAAGACAGAAGCTGCACACCCACGATTTAAGCATGCTGTTACCCAGAGCCTGGCAGGTGTTAACATATGCCAATATTTATTTGCATTCTTCCTTCACGTTATCAAGTCATCTTCCACTGAACTTTGAAAATCTGGTCTTAGCTACAAGCTGACATTTTACCTTACTCAATTAGTTAAAAAGAAAAAAAACATACATATACATATAGAGAGAGAAGGGCACTCAACCATCATTTGTTTGGTTGATGATAAAATGTCAAAACTAAAAGTGAGTTCTTCAATCTAGACATTTTCCTTTCATTTGTCCCTGACAGTTTTGAATAAGTCTTCTCCAAATCAACTGTTTGTTCTCAAAATGTGCAAAATATTTTAGCATTCAGAAACCTTTTGTTTTTGTTTAAAAAAAAAAAAACTGATATTTTTGGACACTATACATTATTTTTTGAATTAGCCTCAGAACCTGAAGCCTTAGCAAACTTAGTTTTTAAATGGAGGGACACGCTTTTGGCCTAGAGGAGGGGAAAAAAAAAAGCATTACAGCAAAAGATGGAGTTAACAGAGCCGGCCTACGAATGCTTCTTAAAAACAAGTGCTTCTAATGCAGGTTTAGAAAAGAAATTAAATATGTTTGCAGTCACAATGAAGCAAACATCTGCAAAGAAAAAAAGGCCCTCATCCTTAAGATGGAAGAAAAAGGTGGTGGGGAAAAAAAAGCACTGTTTTCCCAAGTTGCCCAAATCACACACAGACACAAGAAGGTTACAAATGCCATTCATGAAAGAATGCACCACAAACATCAGCATTTATTCATTTTGAATTTTTTTTTTTTTAGCAAATGACAAAAGACCCAGCTTACTGGCTTCACTTTTGTTAACCTTTTGCTTACATTACACATTTAAACATTTGTCAAAACTTACTAAGTTGTCTGCATTCATGCACAACTAGAAAACATCCTTAATTTATTTAAACCAGAAATGCATTACCAGAAATGTATTAACAGCGTTTGCTAGTAAACGTTAAAAAAAAAAAGTTGAAATTATTAAAAACCTTATCTGGAAATGTTAACTTCACAGCAGACTTAAACTACTATTGGCTCACATTTCAAACAAATTGGAAAAAGCAAGATTCATGCTAGTGTTAGTATACATCTTGCCCTAGCACTACTGAAGGATCATGGTTCACCTTGGATCATATATGTTAAAAAGAAAAGTGCATACAGAAATTTACAACAATTTTAAGGACAAAAAATGGTCCTATTGATGTGGTCCCAACAATTAACTCAAAAGTCTATGACAAATACGAGCTCCGGTGAGCTATTTATACTACTTAAGATTAAGTACGGATATACAGAAAGTTGAGTTCATTTGAAATCTTCAAAAATTGTTCCTGTCAATCCTCAAATGGTGGCTGTTATAGCTTAAAATTTCTGTTAAATGCGTGCGTTGAATTACTTGTTATCCAAGCGCAGCAGCTGCTCCTTACCATTTATTGTTAGCGACCTTAACTGGCCATCTTCTTCAACTTCTACTCTCTCTTGTCCATTCTCAATAATTCTGTAGGACAGAACACACAGTTACCAATTTTAAAGCACTATCAGCAGTTTGAAAGCCTGCACCAGAGCAAGGCTTCTAGATAATGAAGTGTAACAGAGCACTGCCCGCTTAACACAACAGCAGTTGGCAAGGTTTCACAATTAACAGTGCAGAAGACGTAACCAGTAACCATGTGCATCCCATCAGTGATATTGCTTATTTCCAGAAAGCAATTTTCCTGCTGTAAGTTTGAATCCTACAGTTAATTCACACCTAGATTTTAACTAGCATGGCATTCTCCCCTTGTGACTAAAATGAAGAAACCACACAGATGAATATGAAATTCTGAAAATTGAACTCGGTGAGGAAAACACATCCATATTAAAAATAGAGGAATGGCTTCCCATTCAAAACAAAATGTCATGCAAAAATGATTTTCATTGGGTATTTCTTTTCCTTAAATATTTAAGTACAGTAATCGTATTCAATTACTTGATCAATAAGTTGAAAGAGTACTGAACATAACGTAGGGTACTCTACATTTTCCCAAACGCAGTTTCTCCATCACCCATGGGTGTGCTATGTGCAATACCTGAAAACACCTTCATTTTCAGGCCTTACAAGGCTGAACAATTCTTGGCTGTTAGAAGCTTAGACAAAAACACTACCTTCTCCATTTTCACACGCTGTAACTATAAGCAACTCAGCAAAGCCAAGAGTCACAGAACCCAACACTACTTTTTTGCCTTTATTTTTTCAGGAAAATCCAAATTTTCTCATGACCATCAAGAGTAACAATACAAACCAATGCTGTTGATACATAAATAGTTATATGCATGTATGTAGAATATACCTGTAGGTAGTTCATGGAAGTCTCTTACCTCTTTGTAGTAATTTTTCTGCCGTTAACTATTTTAGTTGAGGTTGATACTGATTTGAAGTTTCCCATCCCACTACCACCAAATGACGTAGAGGAGAACGAAGTAAGGCCTCCATGTCCCAGAGAACCAAATGAAGTAAAACCTATTGGGGAAAAAGTTAGTATGAAAATTATTTGACTAAAGCCATAATTTTGCATGACTGTGGTCTTCAAATTTATCAGCTACTCAAAATACCTCCTAGCTTTAGGACGCCCTTTGATGCCTCCATCAACAGAGCATCAGTGACTCATGGCATTAAACAGCAGCGTGAATGTTATATCTCCAGCCCCACTGACTTCTTCCACATGGACACAGATCCAAATGCAAAGCATTGTCCTCTTTTAAAGAAAAGGCCTGTCAGCTGAATCCAACCATTGTAACTTTATATCCCCTCAGGGTAAAACTAACAGCTATAACAAGTCTGATTTTTCATTTTAACAGAGACGGTGGGTTGCCCTGTGTGAGCAGACAACACAAGTTTTGTATTGCTAACATCTCAACTAATACTCAGAATCTTTACACTTGAAACAATGCTGACTACCATAAACTCTCCACAAGCTCTGAGACACAGACCTCACCATTTGAGTTAACTATTCCAGAACTCATACTAGAACTCATTGTGTTTCAAAACAAGGTCTTTCCAGGGTGTTTTCCAAAACTTAACTAAACACAGTCACACCAGTGCTCAAGGACAAATAGAACTAAAACAATTCTCAAGCCATAAAGATACTGAAATGTGGTCTTGAAGGTTTGTTCACTTTTTATCTACTTTCAAGTAGACCAAATATTGTAATGAAGGTTTTATTTACATTCACACATTTCAGAGAGCAGACTACATTCCCAAAACATCAGTCTCACAATTTCCTGAATCAAGAAGACAACTTTTATGAAGTATTTATCTGCTTACTACATCGAGATCCTTTGTGAACCAAAATGACACCCTTTGTTAAATGCTACCTTATTTACCTGTGTCAAATGAAGGAAAAGGACTTCCAAAAGCAGGGAATCCACCAAAGGTAGAGAAAAATGATCCGCCAGCTCTGCTTCTGTTTCCCCTTGGACCTCGTCTGCCCCCGAAGAAGTCATCAAAAGGATCTTCTACAAAACAAAAGATATTGAAAGAGGTTAATCTCACTGCATTTCATCATTAAGGCTTCCTTGAATTAAGGAAAACAAAGTTCTAGTTGTAAGATTCTTCCTTTGAAATGCTTGATTCTATTGAGATAAAACATCCACTAAAAAGGCAACTCCCACTGTCCTTTTGGACTAAATTCTGTCTCACATTTAGAATTGCAATCATAAGTAGTTCATTTCCTTATCATTTTAGCCATTTAATATTAAAACAACCATAAACTTACTGTAAATGCTCTTTCATTTCTCAGCACAGTAAGCAGTAAAAGTTATAACATTAGTATCCTTATTTCAGATGCTCACACAGCATAATTGACTGGGGAGCACGATAAAAGAACTGCAAATAAATATCAATTTAACTGTGCCCACTCAGCATCTGTCAGATTTAGAATGCTTCAGATGCATTATCATGATCTCTACATGGCAATAAGGAGTAACACTATGGAAAAATTAAAATCTCAGAATTTAACAATATTGGATATATATACTGCTCACAGCTTATTGCTGTTCCACATACTGCAGTTCACCACTATGAAGTCTCTGAAAAGTAACTTCCAGAACATCTGTGTCAATAACTGAAATATAAAAAGCCCAATCAAGGGATGACTCAAATTTCAGCTGCTCTATGTGTTTATTTTGGCCCTTGCCACACAAGGTACTTTAAACATTTATTCTGGTGCAGATTTAAGTAGTAAATTATGGGACACCATGTATTCAGACATTGTCAAGCAGGAGGAAAAGGTGAAAAAAAGAATACCATGGAAAAAACTATGTCAAGTGCACACACCACAGTTACATCAGCAGCAGTTATCAATCCCATTCCCATTAGGAGAGCAATAGATTCTTTCTAAAGATAGCTTCTACATACATACATAAAATACCATTTTTGTTTATGTATAATTTTATACATGTAAATAGACACCTCTGCAGGAATATCCCTATTTACTTAGAAGCAATCGAGCTTTCCTAACATATAGATATTACCAGGCTATGTAAAAAAGGATTTTTACTCACACTCTTCAAACAAAGAACTTTAGATTTCAGTCATGTAACACATACTCAATATATACATTTCTGATTTTGAACTCCAAAGTTCAAGACCTTCAACTCACCAAAAAGAACTCTATGAGGATGAGTGCTGTACAGTATCAACAATTTTACCACATTGTACAAGTGGAGATTCAGTACTGAAAGCTAAGTCAGCTTAAGCTCTTCCTGAGTAATGGAGAAACTGCAGGGTCAGAGCATCAGCAGGGTCACGAAAGCAAGGTAAACTGATGTAACTGTACTACTGTTCTGATGTACTAATTGGCAACCAACAGGTCGGAGATGAGCCCACTTCTGGTCCACAAAAATCCAAGCTCATGTATGCAACATCACCAAGTTCATTCACTAGTGACATTTCTAAAGCAATCAATCTGGTAATAAAAATTACTACTTACCATCTGGTGCATGCATGATTCGTTTACAGAAGTGTTACAATGTATTTAAGGCTGAACAAATACAGCCTTATAGCTAAGGTCCAGGAACATGTTCCCACCAGGGAAGGTAGAAAATGCCAGGAACGACAAAAATAATCCTAGTTTACACAGTTATTGAATAAAAAGGCAGGACCAAACTTTTATCTTACATACACCACCAAGCAATGATAAAGTTTCCTTGTTTCCACGCTTTTTGGCTGTTGTGTTCCTGTGCTATTTTTACTTCAAGATAATCTGTTATTATCTTTTAAAGGCTAGAAGTAAAACCAGTTCTTGGGCACAGCAATATGGGAACCTACAACTACAGTTTGCACGTCCCAAACAAGCACTGTAACCACTCTTTTTAAAACTGCTTTTTTTAAACCACTGCAGTTAATTGTTTTGAAGCCTAATATATTCTTGCTAGGGTGACTCAGAAGTTAGTTATGAAGGTCATTCACTCACGTGTACAAATGATCTATATTATATTACTCTCACTGTTAAGCTTTCTATTTATAGCCCAAATTTCCCTGTTACCTGGGGTTTGAATAGAAACAAAACAACCTGCCATGTAAGCTCCGAGTATAAGATCCCCCCCTGCTATCAGCCTATTTCACAAGTGGCTCTCCCACATAGCAGCAGCCAGAATGAAGGTTTTATGGGAGATACCCACTGTCAACACAGCTGTACATGGATTACTGCCTGCTCCTCTCCTTACCTACACTTGGGTATGCTCCATATCAGCCTTTGGCAACCCTACACACCAAAAAAAACCAAAACCTGTACTCTACTTCCAGCCTCAGGTGATTCCAGTTTGCAGTTCTGCTAATAATCCTCCGATGTTCTGCCAGTAATTCATGCCAAGAAATGAGATGCTCAAACCAGATTGCAACCGACTGCTGAATCCTCAGCAAGACAACTCAGAGGCAGGGAGATGGGGAGCTTTTCCAAGGCAATATTCTCTTTTCATGACTGTGCTGACAGCCATTCAAGTACAGTACGCAGAAAAAAAAGCCAGAAACACTGAGAAGTGAAAGCAGCAGGAGGCTTCTGCACAATCATTTGTTGTATCCTCCACCACATACACATTCATACAGCAACCTCGCAACTGCTCAGGCACTGTTTATGCTTTTAGACCATAAATCAGGATGATGAATAGTCCCACTCAGCAGAATAATAACATTTCAGCCTGGTAGGTCTATTTTTATGATTTAGCAGAACTTTTCAATGAATGATATGACCTTTCCATAGAGACAGCTTTTCCAGAATGTCCCCAAAAAAACAACCACAAGTAAAGACCCTCCTAAAAACAGAAACAACATACTGTGCAATTGACAAACATCATAAAACCAAAATGCTGGACCTTAAGGTACTACTGAATATTGCTCATTTTAATGAGGCTCATACCAGAAGCTTATGAGATGACAAACTATCATGTGCAGCTCCAAAAGAAATGGTCAGCACACTTGTGGAACCATGAGAACAGGAAGAATCAAAAGGTGAGAGGTTCAGGAAGACAGGGAGAGCTTTCAGTGGCATGGGATGACACAGAGACACTGGGAAGAAAAGTAAATGCTTAAGCAAAGAATTCATGGTAAACTGTTAGGAAAAAGTGAAACAACAAAGTGCTCTGGGACTCATGCTGCTGTTAGGTAGAAAGACTGCAGTTACATAAAGCCAAGTTAATATATAGGTAGGAAGGGACACACAACCTCCAGCAACAGAAGACTACACGTTAACAAACCCATCTGAAAATTCTGACATTAGAAGTAATGTGTTCCTAAAAGAATTTACTTCTTTCAGAAAAGATCTGCTAATTCGAAAGCAACTGTCCTGTTCATCTGGGCAAATCATTACAGCAGTCACTGGTGCACAGCAGAACCCCACTTTATCATGTGGAAAATAATTTTGCCTCAAAACAAACCAAACAACCACCACCACTGAAAATCTCCCTGCAGCTCAAAATGAAGTAGGTCATGATCCCCTCCTCACCCTCAGTTCTCAGCTGTAACACAAACACACAGGACTTTCTCACTGTCAGCAGCATGATGCACTTGCAGAACACTAGAAAAGATGAGTTCCTTTTTTCTCTCCTGTCCTGCCCGATGATCACAGAACTGTATGACAAGTGGCATTAACTCACTGATCCAAAAGAAAACAATGTCTGTATGGTTAACTTTCTCCTGCATCCATGAGCTAACCTGACTCAGCACTGGCAAGACTGGAGTATCTGAAAGCAAGCAGGCAGGCAAGCACAATACAGCAGAGGAAGGGAATAAGGGAGTGCAGCTGAGTACCTGCACTCGTCCACAATCCAGCTTTACTTCATGACTTTCGATAAAGTCAACTTACGACATCAGCTCAAACCTTCATCAAAAGTAAAACTAAAAGCATCACATTTCCTACTGCAGTCACTTCTACCATGACATTATCATAGCTGGGGCAATCAGATCGCTCACTGCTCAGCCTGATGGAAGTTCCACCACATCTGTTTTCTGTGGTGGCTCCCAATGCAGCTGTAAAAGCAACTACACTGCTACATGGAGGGGAGCTGGAACGAGCACCCAAAGGTCCAAAGGAGCACAGGACCATGCTGCCAGCAGTACTGCCATGTTAACCTTCATCACACAGTGAAGCTTATCCCAGTGCAGTGCCATTGCTCACCTCCAAAGAATTTTATAGTCACAGTGCTAGCAAGTGTTCTCACATGCACGAACTGCTTCAGCCAGAGGCTTTGACGGTGTTACAGGTAAGTATGTAAAGGGTCACTGTGAAAACAGGATCACTGCTCAGTCACCACCCCTTGGACTACCTGCCCAACCAGTAAACCTTCTTTCCTTTTGTTCACTGCAAGGGAAGCCGCACTGCTGCTCCTGCCAAAATATGATAGTGAGGAAAAGCTCAACACCTGTACTGCAGAAACAGAAGGATGACACCATAACTGCAAGGCACTGAGCACAGTGATGTCGAAAAGCTGCTTGGCCCTTACAGAAGGAAGCAGTCTGACTGAACTGTATTCAGTATCACAGTCTGCATTGTTTCAGCAAGCAAAGACAGAGCCTGCCTTGAACTCTTTGTATCAAAGCACACTGTGACTGAACGGACCATATCAGAATCATCAGTGTAATAAATGCAGGTCAGAACAGCACGCAAAGGGATACAGGTTTATATAGGGTTATAACACGTACAATAAAATGAAATTACTGGAGTAGATGTTTCTATCTTGTCTCCTATTCGAAAAAGGTCTCAAAGATGCAGATTCACAGAAAATGCACACAGAGCTTACACTATAGTTTTGGAGAGAACCCAAGACACAATAAAGTATACCATCAGAACTTCACAAGCTGCAGAACCTATAGGCATTTCTCAAGGAAATAATTTCATCCTTAATTATAACGTATACTGCAGTTGATCTCTTGACGAAGAGATCAGAAGAGCCACGAAGATGCTGTTGCAAACAGTGCTGATTCACCTGTCTAGTGTATTTCACCACAGTCTTATAATTGCATATTCCATAAATGAAACGTCAAACAGATGCTTGCCCCACTTACTTATGAAAGCTTACCAGAAGAACTGTCATAGCACTTGAAACGTCTTTCTAAAGATACATAGCAGTGATTCTGGATTAGCAATTTCCTACATAAAAGAGACTGAGAACATTACCTTTTAATTTCATCTAAACCATAATTATCTAGACGTAGATTACTGTGCAAATCATAGAATCATAAAGTCACTCAGGTTGGAAATGACCTTAAAGATTTATCACGTCCAAGGTATGCTCAGGCATACCTTAAAAATGAAGGATTCTTCTACTACCACTGTATGACCTGCTTGCCTTGTGCCATGCCCAGCACTTGTCCTCTTAAAGATAAATTTAACCTGCTAGACATCCAAGGAAAAAAAACAATTTTGGAGACCAGTAAGCTGAACCAGCTCAGAGATGCACACAATTAATACAATTAACTAAAGGTAGGGGAAAGAAGGCGTGCCTGCGACCTCCTCTTAGGCCAGTGTGCCATCAAACAGCCCCTCAATGCATCTAGGGGGACATCAGTCAAAGATTCCAGTTGTAAGAGACAGAGAAGAGTTTGGAGCGTGGCCTCTTCAACAGCACAGTCTGTATGGAGCCACTGCCATTATTTCCAACTGTGTGATAATGCTGGTGGGGCGAGATAATTCCTGCAATGGAAATGCTGCCTTTAAATCTATAAGGATATTTCTGAAACATCACTGATAGTAAGACCCAGACCATCCCATGAATAATTGTTGCACGCTTCCATACCAAAGCAATGAACACACAAAGCTCTGAACTTCACATACATCAAAAATTGCAAATCTGTGTCAACAAAAAGTTTAATTACGAAGAGGACAACATTACACAAGACAGCTTTAATTGAAAGCCTCCTCCATTTGCAGCTTTAGTAATCTGACTAACAAATTTACTTTGCCTTAGACTATCTAATCATCATAAAATTATCACAAGATGGGATTACACGTGGATTGAAACCATGATCTTACTCTCATGCCCTGGCAAGACTGCACCTAAATGTAATTAAAAAAAAAAACAGCTTTTGAATTTGAACTTACCATTTCTGGATAACTTATCCAGAAATTTCTATCTCATCTTCCCTTGGCTCCAACCTCTCAACAGTCACTTACCACTATGCTTTTGATAAAAAGCTTCATGAAGCTATGCCATTTTTGAAACAACGTCCCAAAATACATTTCATATAAAATATATTTTGCAAGGATTACTGCACACAGTCTTCCACATGATGACTCTTTAGACTTAAAGAGTAATTCACCACACTTCTCCAGAACATTCACCTACTGTTTATGTACCCAGTACTGCACAAGTCAGCTTGCAGTAATTCTCTGTTGTATAACAGACAGCTATCCAGTTGAGTTTCTCCTCGACAAAAACGTCTGCCTAGTTAGCCACGTAATAAAGTTAGATTTTCACTGTTGGAAATCAAAGGTACAATTAGAGTTTTAAATCTCAGAAGGCACACTGATAAAACAAGCTAACACACTTGAGAGCTACCAAGTTCATTATCTATGTAGAATGAGACAGACTTCTCTCAGCCAAAGTGCAGAGAGGACACCCACCTGGAGCAGCTTAACACATCTGACCACACAGAAAAGCACTACTCCTTGCAGGATTTATTTGCTAGACACACAGGTATCTAATGCTGTTTGACATGCTCTGAAGCATCCTGCCTAGCTCCTAATAACTGAAGGGTAGTGATCTGCTCTAGTGCCTGGGTGTTATTTTCTAGCCCATACAGAACAGAGTCTATATTGAGCATAGGATCTGATCTCCTTTATAGCTCACAACTCACGCAGCAGAACATACACTGAGATGCTGAATTAGAATTCTGCCACTTCTGAGAAGATCCACATGCACTTGAGCAAGTAAAACCACAAGGACAAACGAGCACCAGCACATGGTAAGATCAGTTTAACAATTCTGCCACACACTGCTTCCTATACCTAAACTAAGCACAGACTTCAGGAGATACCTAAATTATCTAGATACCTGTAGATATCTGCACCTACAGAGGCTCCATCCCCCAAGCAAACAAGTGACGTAAACCTGGAAGATTCTCTAGCTGATGTATGCAGCTGTTTTTATCTTGTCACCAGAAAATCATTTGTGGTATACCAGTTCATGCTGGGAGACATGCTGTAACAGTTTAAAGTAACCTAGTCAGTTTAGAAGCTCTCCAAATTACATTAAATATTTACAGATCACCAAGAGGTCAAATTCAGCAGACAAAGTCCACAGAGAATTCCAGTGTATACTTCTTCTGTCCAATGTTATTTCCTTCCAACCTACAGAGACAGAGCTGCCAGAAATTTGTTTTTTAAGCCATGCCTTCTGACAAACATGAGCAGGTAATCTAAACTTACCCTCTACTATCACATCAACTGAGAAAAAAAGACTGTTACAGACATTTTAATACAGAATTGCTTACCACCCATTTTTAGAGCTACTTCTCATAGAGCTGTTTTAGCTAAGCACGTTCTATAGGATTGAAATGAATCACAGCAGAGATGGACGTAACTAAAACAAGTAGATTACTTACCGAAGAATTCAAATGAAAAAGGGTCCCTTCCACCAAAAAACTCCCTAAAGACATCATTTGGGTTACGGAATGTAAATCCAAACTCAAATGGATTATCAAGGTGACTGCCACCTGCAAAAAACAAGTTGAATTTCAGTCACCCTCACACACTTGCACTACCAGTAAAGTTCAAGCCACTGCAGTCTTTCAGGCATTTTAAAAAAAAGCATATACTAAAATTCCTATTATTTCTATCACCCTCCCAGGTATCCCACAGAGTAAATACACTTAATGCTTAATTCCTAATTGATACTAATTCAATTAATTCTATTTTCTTTTTCCAGATACCAGCAGACAAATCATAAAACATAATAACCATTGCATACTTTAGGCCCTAGTACAGGCAATCCTGGACTCTCCTTTACAAAAGCAGCAAAAAATGGCTTTTCAGCAGAACAAAGAAAGAACTGCCAATTGACAACATACCTCCACCTCCATTTATTAAGCCTTCTTTTCCAAATCTGTCATAGATGTCACGTTTTTTAGCTACAAGAAAAAGTTGTACACTGTATCAGTAATTAAACACAATAAATTGTTAAAAAAAAATAATAACAATTAAAAAACACTTAGCTGGTCTTTTCAGCTAAACTTCTACTCAAAGCTAGTTTATTTAAGAAATTCTGACAAGAAACCATTAAAAATTTTTCTTGAGGGCTACCAAAGCAGTTTAGGTTCAGAAAGAGCAGACAAGTCATTTCACACTTACTACCATGTAGATATAAAACCTTAGGGCCCCCTGTACTAGAAAAAAAATATTGTCATATATGAATAAATCTCAAAAGAATACCATCTTCCATAGCTACCATGGAAAGCTTTTGGCTGAAAAGCTCTGGGATTCAACCCTCTAAGTTGGTTGAAACTTAGGATAAAGCCCAGGTCACCTCTCTGCAAGAAAGAAGATTCCACAAGCTCTCTTGACAAACTGTCCCTTATGCTGAAGGATTTTCATTGTAAATATTTTGTTCCCTCTGTTCAACTGGAACACCCCTTGTTGCAGATCTTTGCCTTTTATTGTGCAAGGCCAAGTTCACTGTGAGAAAGTGGTAAGAAAGGAAGAACAGGATTTTGTGTGACTATAAATTCAATGATAGCCACTTTATTTTAAGAAGGAGACCAAAAAGTTGTATAAAAAAAAAAAAAAAAAATTCTAAGAAAGGATTTGACTCAAACTGCTTGCTCTTTGTTGTTTAAGACGACATGGAATGCTCTTCATTTCACTGCAGACCAGCACCCCAGTATCCACAAGAACAGGAGAGAAAGCAAGTTAATTCCACATTACTACATAAGTTACACTGCTGGCAGTGGAGGAAAATCTGAGAGTATTTTGCTGATACTCCCTAGAAGTATCAGTCAGGACATCTGATTTCAGACTCTTCATGTTAATGTGTTATTCCCACTGTAATATTTTCAGTGGAAGATGCTTTTGAAATTCAAATAGCATAACTGAAAGAAAGTGCTGATACCTCAACCAGCTACTGAGGAGCAAAATACTTCCTCCTGGCTACAGAAATCCAGTTTTACATAGTGGCTATCATTTAGAAATGATGCAACCTTGCAATAGGTACACATATACATACGCACACAGAACAAAGCCTAGTTCAATAGGCTTTGCCTTTTTAGAACACAAATAAAGGAAGTTAATCTACTTCCATCAATTAAAAATGGACACAGAACAGACTGTCAGAAGCAGCAGAAAAGTTAAGACCTGAGAGCTGAAGAAGCCTGAAGTTCACCTTCCAAAAAAATTTCACGTTTTTGAAACCCGAAGACAGGCGTGCCCTATGAACAGACCACTTCAACATCCTTTGCACATGTAATCCCTTACACAGCTACCCTCCTTGCAAAAACCTGTCTTCACTCAAGCCTGTAATGGTGTGAGAAACTTTATTAAGTTGGCAGGACAGTTGACTGCCCTCAACCAGTGGGCTCAGGATTTAGTTACCCTTATGCACAAGTGACTGTTAAGATCCCAGTAACTTTGGTTTGGTATACATCCAAGAACAGGAAATATTTTCAGAAGGTGTTCTAGAATTCCAGGAATGTATTGTTTCCAAAGAATCTAAAGACCTACACACCACCCAGACCAGTGTCCTACTTTCATCTTACTCAAAGAATTTACTTAAGAAGGCGAAGCTACTCTAGAAGACGAAAGTTCATAAATTCAGTTTTACTTCCATCATGGCAATTAAGAATCAAAATCAAATGGAAGACACAGGGTGTACAAGACAGCTAAACCAGGCCAAACTCTGAAAGGTAATCTAGATCCTGCTGCTACTTTAAATAGAGCTTTCCCACTCACTGGTTCCAGGTGAAATCAAGGACACTTCAGAAATAGAATACAGACGCAGTCAATTACAGAGGAAAATAATCAAAGTTGCTTAAATCACTTCATTATGATTCAGACTGCTTCTGCCAAGACATTCACAGAAGTTAATGCTGCTTTTCAAGCAAAAAGACACAGGTGAACTAGAAAGTGAATTCCTCCACCACACAGGTCAGGCTAAGCAACTGATTTCAATTAACAATTCCCCTGTATTTATGGTAATATTGGTTTGACCTCCTTAGACAAAAGTGGATCTTAGCTTCCAAAAGGAAATTGTCTGTGTTACTCATCAAGAAAGATACTGAATTTTTGGTTTCAAAATTTCTGCTCATTCTGTCTTACCTGCAAGCTTCCCCTCCCCCCCTTCCTTTCCTCAGGAAGTAGTCTAAGTGCACAGCCACACAGAGACGGATACGGGACCCCTTTTAAAGCATCATGAGTTTTCTCCTCAGCATTTTCGGTCTTAAACTGACTATCCAGAGAGCTGCAGTGCAAAAGCCCATTTAAAATACCTACCATCTGACAGAACTTCGTAGGCCTCAGCTACTTGTTTGAATTGCTGCTCTGCTTCTTCTTTATTTTCTGGATTCTTATCAGGGTGCCATTTTAATGCCAATTTACGGTACCTAATTGGAAGGAAACAAAAGGATATTTTACATTGAAATGAAAAAATATGCTCTAAGCACAGACTGGATATCAGGAATTCTACACTGTGAGGACGGTGAGACACTGGAATAGGTTGCCCTGCGAGGCTGTGGATGCCCCCTCCCTGGAGGCATTCAAGGCCAGGCTGGATGGGGCTGTGAGCAACCTGGTTGAGAGGGAGGTGTCCCTGCCTATAGCAGGGGGTTGGAACCAAGTGATTTTAAGAGCCCCTTCCAAACCAAACCATTCTGTGATTCTAAACACAAAATGTGTCAAACAAGTTTTCAGGGACTAAAGTACTTATAGATTTCCCAGTGCCTTCTATCTTGCCTCTAGAACAGCACCAACAGATCTTGCAGGTATACAGAGAACTGTCTACCCAGATTTGCTAAAAAAATAAACAACTTTTTTTTAAACTGGAGTTCTTCAGATATTTTTAGATTTACTCCTGAATTTCTGAACAAAAGGCAGGTGCGAAAAAACATTCCCTAACATTTCTGCTATGGCCTCCTTAAACGCTCCATACTCCAACTACACTACACCACAACCAACTACCGTAAACATCAAGAGTACTCTTCTGATCCAGACAGAGATGATAAAGCTTTAGGAGCACCTTAGTAACTAACTGTGGTAGTATCTCACATCAGAGGCACGTTTGATGGCTATCTCATATATAATGCCTATGCTCAAAAGGGATGTTTAAGGCTAAGTGTTCAAAACTACTTAGAGGAACAAAGCTAAACTTGTGCAAATGTTGACTGGTAGCATTTCACACAGTCATGCAGCATTACAGTTCAAATTCTGAGTTGACACAGATTTTCTTGTGCAAATCCCTGCACATACAAGGGACAAAAAAAGTAAAGTGCCACGCACTTGTGCAATTTGATTAATTGTAAAGCACAGCACTCAGGAGAAGGCAAGATAAACACAGCATTTCTACGTCACCCAAAACTGCGTCTTAATGCCAAATATTTTTGGTATACTAGGAACATGTACTATGGGAACGTCTCCTCCCAATAGTTTGCTGTAAAGTAAACAGTAACTTTTAGGGAAAAACAAAAGGCAGAATGCCAAATACTTGTTAATAACTTAGAAATCTAAGCACCTCTGCAAATGGAGGGGAAGATGGTTTGCAGTTCAGCCACGGAATATTACCTCAGATGACGACTATTCACCCAAGTATTGAAAATAAAGAGGATGTATTTGCTCCTTAAAACATCCCATATATACCAGTGATACTTACGCTTTTTTAATGTCTTCTGCTGAGGCATGCTTCTGCACTCCCAGAACTTCATAGTAATCCACCATGGTTCAGCAGATGTCTTGTTTACAACAGGTGGGTCTTTCAAATCCTGCAACAACAAGAACTTGTAAATGAAGTCTGTATGGTAATGCTGCATCATTTTTAAAAAGATCAAGGCAGATCCTAGGAAATGCTACTACCAGAATGGACCTAGTAGGTGACTGCTTTTACACAGTCAGATGTTCCAAGCATACACACACAGACACACACACTAAAGATTCACTTATTTTAGGTTGACACATGAGCCAATTACTTTGATTCTCATTTGGATTCATGCCCTTTAATTTCATTGAAACACAGTGAAAAGAGATTAAGGAAAACAGCAGGTTCCTGAAATAAATTAGACAGAAAAGCTGTTTTTAATCACTACAGTGAGAAGGAATTGTACTGCACGCCATCATTTTTATATACACATCAATAACTTCTGAATGGAAAAGCAGCCACACATCATATTACTTTATGGCACCTATGTGGTATCTTACGCACACGAGTGTAAGCAGACAGCAATGTTCTTTCATGGTAGTTTTTAGTTGCCTTTCTTGACAGACAAATCACACGTTGCCAAAGCTGCTGAATGCTATTTACTGATTACCAACAGCAAGTACATAGCCAGAAAAGACCACTGAACTGAAGGCTAGCCAACCAACTCAAGTAAGGAAGCTGTTTGTACTCCTTAGAATGAGAGAACAGAGTTTTCACAGGAACAAAAATAAACTGAAACTACTTTTTTTCCCCCTTCAAGTCACTCAGTGTGTCCTCTTACAGTCCAGGTAGTTTCATTTTTACATTTACAGAAGTGCTGTAAGAATCAAACACAACACTCTGAAATAAAGTTACCCTATTGATACTACATGCATCCTTCAATACCCTAAGACACAAACACTGAAGTGAGACCTCCTTTTACAATAATTAGATACTTCTTCAAAATAACACTGCTGTTGCAGGTTAAAGCCAAATGAACTTAGAAAAGTGGGGATGTGATTTCATTCACTTCTCCTCCAACGGCAGGTTCTTGATTAAACTGGCACTGCCATGCACTTCCCACCCCACTACCAACAGAAACAAACATACAAGAAAAGCTACATGCTTTTTGCAATCTAGTTAACCAGAGTTCCACAGACACTGAAAACATTAAAATGCAGCAGGTAAGGAGACCTCTAATTGACTCTGCCCTTTGATGAAACCTCCACACTGAAACAAACAGTATGGGTGTAGTTAATAACGCAACCATCACTAAGAAGGGATGCTGGAAGACACAGTAAAATGAACATCAAGAATGCCAAAACACATATAATAAGAACAAGCTTCAATATGTAAACAGGTTACGAAAAATAACCCAGAATACTCAACTAACAACCAGCCTAGCAAGAATCTGCTGTTTCCCAAACAAATGGGAAAGACTTGAATGAGTCCAGAGGACGGCCACTAAGGTGATCAGAGAGCTGGAGCACCTCTCCCATGAGGAAAGGTTGAGGGAATGGGCTTGTTTAGCTTGGAGAAGAGAAGGCTGCACAGAGACTTCATTGTGGCCTTCCAAAATTTGAAGGGAGCGTATAAAAGGGAGGGGGAATAGCTGTTTACAAGGGTGGACAGTGATAGGACAAGGGGGAATGGTTTTAAACTGAGACAGGGGAGGTTTAGGTTAGGTATTAGGAGGAAGTTTTTCACACAGAGGTGGTGACGCACTGGAACAGGTTGCCCAAGGAGGCTGTGGATGCCCCATCCCTGGAGGCATTCAAGGCCAGGCTGGATGTGGCTCTGGGCAGCCTGGTCTGCTGGTTGGTGACCCTGCACACAGCAGGGGGTTGAAAATGGATGAGCATTGTGGTCCTTTTCAACCCAGGCCATTCTATCATTCTATGAAATGATCAGAACAGCCCTACTATCACACAGCTGAGGAGCACAGTCAGCAGGAGTTAAGTACATTATCAAATCTTGGAGCCAATCATCGTGAGCAACAGTGTATGTAGAACATGCACATTATAGAAAGAATCCAAAGGAAAAAAAATCCTGTGTGTTTGCACGCTGTACCTCCTGTGGAAGTGGCATTGCTCAGTTTCCACTTGCCACCAATGCGATACACGCAGTTCAGACACGCAAGCAGCTCTCTGAAAAAAACAAACTGCTTGCATTCTCTCACTCAACCATTTAGGCAACAGAAAGAGTTCATCTACAATTAATCAACATTTCTATCTGCTAGTCACCATAAACCATAAACTGCACTGCTACAATTTCAGGCATCAACGGAATGTTTTCTTGTGTCTGAGAAAGTTTTAACAATATTTACGTAAGGAAAACTCATCTGAAGCTTTTTCCACCATCCAGCTTAGGCAAAATACACTAACCCACAAAACAGACAGCATCAGCTAATGTTCTGACTCTTAAAATACAGATTTCTGTGCAGCGCTCAGTAAGCAGGGGAAAAAAACTCACAAACCAGAAAAGAAACCTGTCTACAATACAGGAAAATAAAAGATTTAAAATATTTACTCAGGAAAACAACCACCATCAACTTGCAATAGAAGAGAAAATAGTTATGATTGATAGTTTAAAGGCTGTAGTAACATGCCTGATTACAAAGTCCCAACAATTCCACGAAGCAAAGCAGCTACCCCCCTGCAAAGCAAAACCCAGAACTACTCAGCTGTCCTAATCAAACTGACAAAGATCTTTTTCCAATCTCAAATGCGTCAAAGATTTGTCCTCAAATGCACAACAACTCTTATTCATTAGGCACTCCTGAGTCTTTTTCCTTCCACAAGGATTCCAGCCCACATTCATTAACTGGCCACTTCCAACCACAGCAAACCTTCAAAGCCTCAAAATAAAAATCAAGCAAAAATATACCAGATAGAAACTTTTCATATCCTTTGTTTTTTACTTGCATAAATCTACAGCTGCTTGTATGCGTCACTGCACTGTGTTTACAGGATTCTATCAGCTATTCCAACTCCTCATGAGCATGAACAAACCCAACTGCCAAACATTCCCGCGAAACAAAAGTTTTCATAGATCTCTCAGATCTCACAGGAGCAGTTCTGGCTTACCAAGAAGCGCAGCACTCACACTGATACAAAGCAACCAACATGCTGGGGCTTGAGACCTTCCTCTCACAGTGAAGCCCGAAGCTGCATCAGCTCAGAATGATCTTGAAACGCGTCTCGTAGTCTCTCTACGCAGTGAAGTCCTCAGCTACAGAAAAGGCATGAGTATATTTACAAAAGATACGTAGAGATCTAGAGATCTTATGGAAGATCAGATGACAGGGAAGAGGTAATTTATCAGACGCACAGCCTTCCAGAATGACAAAGCAGCAGCCCAAACTAAATACAGAGTAGAGGAAGGCACCTAAATGAGAAGTTACTAAATTGTCCAGGAGTGAATTTAGACAACAAGGGCCATGTGACCTTTGCAGTCAGAAAGTTATCTATTTCTGGCCATGAAGCAATGGTACAGCAAGAACAGCCCTGAAAGATTCCAGAACAGCTCGAGCTCAGTGACTCCTTCAGTCACCTGGGTAGAGGTTCCAAATTCCCTGATTCACACAATTTACCCAAGAAGCTGATATCGACACTTTATGAGCTGCCCAGCCAACCAACCCCTCCTACCTGTCTGCTTTCCACGTCTGAATCATTACATCCAGACAGTAACACAGGAGAACATCCTCTTTCAAACCAGAGCTCAGCTTCAGCTTGGGTCTGACCTACCAGCAGCAACTGAGCAACTCACCAATGTCTCTGGTATGTCAGCAGATGATGCACGTGCAGTAGATGACACACGTGCTCTAGGATCTTTGAGAATTACAACCTGTGATTAAGAAAATAAGATTTCTCACATTCCAAGAGTTTTTATTAGAAAGCAGTGTGTCAGACCTGACGAGTTTTTGTACTCCTTCAAAGAACCACAAACACTCCAAGCAGCATCAGTGCTGTTGGATCCAGGGCCACAGATAGGATGGCATGCAACACACACACCCAAGTCTTCTAGTATCTTTTAACTGATTTTTATACAGCTAGAATACTTTTGTTAAGACTTATTATTTACAGTCCAGTAAACTTAGAGGCATACCCTAATATCTCCATGCTGAACATAACAACCTTAGGACGACATTCAGTCACGTCAATTGCTCATCGCCTACAGATCTCAAATATAATCCCTGAATTGTAATGACTTGCCTACTCGGTCTTTCCAAGCAAATCTTCTAGAAAGGTAAAAAAAGTCAATCACAAAGCACTAACTGCCATAGAAAACAGCAAGAAACCCCACTCGTACAACAACCAAGGAGATTTCACCCAGCACAACACACTAAGCTATACGCAAAACCTCTGCACTGTTAACTTCCACTGATCCCAACTCAGAAAAGCTACCTTAGAGTTTCATCTCACAGGCTCAACAAACTGGTTTCTGTCCTGAAACACATAAATACACAGCATAATCAAAGTTAGCAAAATGGACTTAAATGACAACGTTTATCCTCATCATGTTACACTGCCAAGCATCCCCGAGAGATGAATCTAACCAAATCAACATTCCAAAATGCTTACTTTAATCCTATGCTTACAACAAACATCCTGTCTGCATGTTAGAAAACAGTTGTCCTGAAGTCGTTTTCCGAGTCCAGTTTTACTTACAACAGACCTCCACAGATTCACACTACCTTTTAAGACAAAACAATTTCTCCTAATCAAACAAAATTTTTGGCGCACGGGTTTTAATGAAGGCTTTTCTATAAAGTAGCTACAAATGGCCTCAGCCTTATTATTTGAGCCACAAACTCCTTCAGTACAGGATAACCCACAACAGAAGTGAGAAGGGCAGGCAGGGCATACAGGTTAGTACAAAACAAACTGGATATACAGAAAAAAGACATTCATACACATGAATGTAGTTAAATAAACAAACAGTCCAAACTTAAGAGAAATCCAACATCTATTCAAATGTACCATTTCATTCAGGCACGTAAGTTCAACCTACTAACATCACCAACTAGAATCACAGAACTGAGTTGGAAGGGACCCTTAAAAGCCATTTGGACCAACACCCCCGCAGTGAACAGCTGCACCGACAGACACCTACAGCTCCATCAGGTGCTCAGAGCCCCGTCCAGCCTGACCTTGAGCATCTCCAGGGATGGGACATCCGCCACCTCTCTGGGCAACACAGCCCGAGGCCCCTCCCTTCTCACTGTAGAAGTTTTTCTTTATATCCAATCTAAACCTACCATCTTTTAATTTGAGTTTCCTTTTGTCCTGTTACCACAGACCCTGCTAAAGAGTCTGCCTCCTTTCTTACAGCCCCTTTAGATACCAACAGGCCGCTCTCAGGTCTCCCCATGGCTTTCTCTCCTCCAGGCTGCACAGCCCCAGCTCTCTCAGCCTGTCCTTGCAGGAGAGGTGTTCCATCCATTGGGTCTTCCCCTGGATACGCTCCAGCAGGTCTATGTCTTTCCTGCACTGAGGACTCCACAGTAGTTTCAATTAAAATCTATGCTGAACAAAACAATCATCCTAAGAACCAACAAGTTCTGACACAGTTAAAAAGCTTCTCACTGATTTTTCCATTCCATTAAGAAATTAACATTATGGCCAAAGGAAAAGCTGCCAATAGAAACCGTTCTGCTCAAAGCACCACAATTTCTAAGGCACAGACCAGAAGGTTTACTCCACACTGACAGCCCTGTGTATTGACAAGGGTGAGATGTGCCAGCAGCACAAGAACAGAATGCCAGCACGCATGGCTGCATCACTGCCCAACCTCGTGGGACGTTTCAGTCAATGCCAGACCAAATGTAGTGCCTGCGGCCTCATATGGACACACAAACATCACTCTGATCTGGCACAACCTCACCTCAAATGTGTCAAACAGATGTTGGAGTTCTGAAATATAAATATATACATATTAAAAATATATATCTCCATAGCTAAGTATAAATCCTACTAGGAACTGATAGGCCCTTCATATTGAAATGAACGTTTAACATTAAGTTACTCCTCAATACCCCACCAAAAAGACAACTTGTTTATTTTCCAGAAGATAAACTTCACGTGGTTTCTCCTAAAATCCAGCTGAATTGTGTTAGCAAACCTCCCCAATCCAAGAAAGTAAGAAGAAAATAGAAGAGAAAAAGCCATTTGGGTAAGAATGCAGCACAGACGGAAAGCACAAGTACTGAAAGAGACAAATCTGACAGAGCAGCTTCTAGGTAGAAAAATTATTACTATCAGCACAATTTAAATCCCATTACTAGTCAAAGTAGCAATACATGTTTCTCCTCCAGTCTCTGGGTTATTGAAGAAAATTTAATCTGAATTTGACTTGCATTGCCAAGAGACTCCTGCCCTCCACTGAACAGCAGCACGAGAGACAAGAATAGGAAGCACAGTTGCACAGACACTGTGCACTATTTCAGCATTTACTTCTAGCTTTAAACAACTGAAAAGAAACATGCAAGAAAAGCAGAGACAAGACTGGTAAACGCATTTACTCACTCAAACAAACAAATCTTCTCTGACAATATAATCCAGCAAACTAAATGGTACTTTAACAACCAAGCTCTCGATCATCAGCTGAGCATAACTCCTAACGAAAGTACAGCCATCTCCAAAGGGTAAACAAAAATCAAGGTCAGCATGCAGTGGGAAGAGCAGCTTTGGAGGACCAAGGGACAGGCCCAGCAAGCAGCTGGGCCGACACCATGCCAACACCTTGTTCCTCACATGCTGACACTTCACCTCACAAAAACGTTAAGACCAGATCACTGGCTATGCAACATCAAAAGTGTTGCTGTCATTTTAAATCTAACTTCAGTGATATTACCTTGGCCGGATTGGAACCAGCCAATCAATTTACTGCTATCAGAATTTCAAAAGGAATCTGCCCCAACCTTTTGATAAACCTTTTCCACTATCTTCTGTGAAGTACGTTGCACTGGTTTTCAGTAGCCACCCAGAGTGCTCACAAACTGCAATACAGCATAAACTCTCACAATAAACAGAAATACTGACCACAAATAACTTCACTTCCCAACCCAGCAGTCATACAGAAAGGCAGCAGACGCTGACCGTGACAACAACAACCAGCCTTACACTGAGCTTTCAGCTCAGCTCAGAACCCGGCAGCACCAGGCTTCAAACGCAACGAGTTCTGACCCTACTCTGAGTTACTAAATGGAAAATGGCCCTAAATTCCCCTCAGAAAGAAATATTTAGAAAAAAAAATAAAAATAGAATAGTTTAGTTTACAAGCACGCCAAAATAACTCGGTGAAGAAAGGAAGCCGAAGCAAAGGGCCTATTCACTGGGCTGCAGAGCCCCGTCCGAACACACGCTCCTCGCTTTCTCCAGACGAAACCAGCCCAACAGAAATGGAAGCGCGGATTTTCCCCACCTCAGCCTTCTCCGCTCTCGGTAAGCGCGAGGCACGGCTGATGTGGGACAGCCCGGCCCAGTGATCCCACAGCTCACCGCCTCCCCGCGCGCGGCGGGCTGAGCCCAGGGCAGCCCTCACGCACACTCCCTCCCTCCTTCCCGCCCGCCCGCCCCCAGCTCCCCGCCGCCCACTCTGACCCAGCGGAGCCGCTGCCACGCAGCTCCCGGAGGCTCGGCAGAGCTCTCAGCGCAGCGCCCAGCATGGCGGCACGGCGCCTCCGACAGCCGCGCTCGGGGCCCGGGCCCGGCAGCGCTGCTGCTAAAGCCGTGGATAGGCACAGATATCGGCTCCTCCTCCTCCCGCTCGCTGTCTCTCTCCTTCCCCCGGTGAGACCAAACGACGCCCGCCCGCGGCCCGACCCTGCGCTCACCCGCTGCGGTGCCTGCGCAGCGCGGCCGCGACCTCCCCGCCAGCAGCCCAGGACAACGGCAACAGGAACAGCGGCGGCTTCCTCAGCCGCAAACAGGAAATGGCGTCACGAGCGCCGTCACTTCCGCCAGGCTGTTTCCGGAAGTTTCTCGAACGACGCACGGGCCGTCTGCTCCCTGACCGCCGCGCGCACGCGGGGGTGGGGCGCCCCCTGCTGCACGTGGGCGGCGCTGCGCGCTCCGTGGGGAGGGGTGGCCGCTTCCACCCCTCGCAACCGCGCGGGGTAGAATGAGCCTTGCTCACCGCTAAGGGCTGCCTGCATGCGAGTCACTTTGACATTTTTGCTGCAAAACACAGAGAACGCAGATATTTCCTAATGAGGAGGAAGAAACAAGAGGTTTAATCTTTAGAAAAATCACATAATTGTGTCTTAATTGGCTAATGCTTATCTTTGACTTAGAAGTGGGGTATGAACACATTTCCCAAGACTTTGCAGAAAGGATGGTTGGTACAGCACCAATTAAAAATATCGTTCACTGGAGTACCTTTTTTAACTTAATATCATTATCCGTGGTAGTTCAAAGGAAAGATATTAGGAACTCATTATATATATATTTGTTTTCTTGATACAGTGTTTTTTTGTTGTTTAATTTCTATTCTCTGGGTTACAGGGAAAGGCAGAGGATTGCCATAAACACAGCAGATGACAAAACCAGCTGGAAGTGGTGCTGCAGGACGTACAGCAGAGCACGCTGCAGGGATCTAGGAGAGAGCACTGTCGGTACCCCCCAAAACACAGCGCTGCACGGGGTTGTTATGGCCCAAGTACAGCTCCCAGCATTTACAATCACAGGTCCTATGAGCAGGGAGAAATACGTGTACAGGCTTCATGCTGATGTCACCCCTAACACAGCAGCCGCAGCACCGCTCAGCTTCAAGCCAAGTCTCTCCTACTCACCTGTGGTATCAAGCTCCCCCTGTTGGTTCCTGCTGCAGTCACCTTTCCAAGATGTCAGCTCAGTCTTCAGCATTTTCCAGGTCAATTCGATCCGTTATGCATCCACCCGCAGCTCAAAAGAAACATGTGGCAGTGGTTGCTTCACTTTTAAGAGGAGCACTCTGATAAAATATTCATACTGACAGTTAACTACTGCTGAGCCACCTTCTCACCCTAACTTTCTCTCATTCAAGCTGCATAGTTCAGGTACCACAGAGCAGGGCTAATTCCAGAAGAGTTCATTAAAATTCTCACCATGGTTTGATTTGCTCTCTATACTCAGTCCCACTCAATTCAGTTAAGATTTCTCAGAACTATTACTTAAGCTTTAGCATTAGTCTTACAGTAGGACAAAACTCCTCAAAAAAGAACTGGCTGCCCGAGTGTTTTCCATACATTAGGATCTTACAGTCTCTGTATTAAAAAGTTAACACAGATAAAAGGAGGAGGAAGAGCCTATCCACCTTCTCACCTGAAGTAATATCCTGAGAAAGACTTTAGTTGTAGGAAATGTTTAATTAGGTCTGCTGATAAGATTAATAAAACAGAAAACCTGATTCAGAAAACTTCTGCACCGCCACAGAGATATTTACAAAGCATGAAGTGAAAGTGATTTGTATTTGTATGGCTGGCTGCTTGCAGAAGAAGCCTGGAATATTGTTAATTGCATTAAGGAGCAACAAACCTGATGCTCCTGAAAGACAGAGGGGCTGGGATCAGTGTTCCAATAGCAGCAGCTGATAAGGCATGGTGGCTCTATGGGCACTGCTATGGAAGATTTGGGCAGCCATGGGCTGGCATCTAAGTGTTGAGTCATAAGAATAAATCCTGTTATTAGAGGATCTTCATTGCTCAGGAATTTTCAGCTCTCACCTTGGAACATGAAGCAAAGATCATTCTTCACTTTCACAGAACTTCAGCTGCCCAGAAGTTAAGTATTGTAGTTCAAACCCTCTGACTACGAAGAACAAGAGAAGGAGGGGCGTCTCCAGGACATGATTTGTTCTACCCACCTTGGCAATGCATATCAGTAAAGAAAGAAACGACCTCTGGATCTCTGAGTTGCCTCTGCCATTGGTAGTGCCCAGACAGCCACCTCCCAGGTGCCAAAAGTTAAGTGAGGGCTGAACTGGTAACTATAACCTAACGATAGAATCATGTGGCGTTAGAATCATGTGGCATGAGCCCAGGAGATATCAGCAATTCACACTGTTCCCAGATTCGTTTGTTGGGGTTTTTTTTTATCAATCATTTTTTATTACTTACGGAGGTGAACTATGGAAAGCCCATCAGAACATAAGAAACGCTTGAAAATGCTGCATTAGAGAGAGATTAATATTAGTTTCTTCGATGTGGTAATGGCTGTGGCCTTTTTGGCCCGCTGCTCTGGTCTGCTGCTTAATGAATCCAGTTTTTCTATTTACAGATTCTATTTTTGGTGTTAGCAAAGAACTTATGTATCAAAGACTGTTCTCACATCATTTGATTATAGTAATACTGGCAAAGCAATTCTGGAAAGTGCCACTTAATTAAATATAAGCACTAACTTTTTTGCTGATAGCTTATCAGAAACAATTAGACTTGAAATACGAGCAATACACCTAACATTTAAAACTAAGTAGAAGCTTTAAAAGCACAAAATAATCAATTATCATTAGAATTCTCCCGAGTTTTTCTGCTGAGCACAACCTCAGTTTTCATTTGTATGGAGCTTCTCAGGTAATCAATAGGATCCAAGTTTATCTGGATGCCTCTTCGTAACCAAAAGCTTGAGCAGAAAGGATGTTTTTGAGGAGTGGCTGAAACATTTCAAGATAGCTGGTGCTTTCCCCAACTCCTCATAAAGCACCAGATAATTCTACTGATTACTTGGGGTGTGCAGAAAACAGTCTAAGAACAGCTGCTGGCAGACACAAGATCTCAGTCTGTGACAAGTGTTTATTCCTTGCAAGGACAGCTTGATCAGCATTTCTATCAATTAATTTGATCTGAGATAGACTTCCTTATCTGTGCACCAATGGCAAATACAAGTTAATTCTATGTCACTTTTCATCCATAGCCAGATAGGTCTAACAAGTAAGTACATCTCAAATAACTGCACAGAACTCAGAGCTCTGCCAGTTTGAAAGATAGAGGTGAAAAATACTATAAAAATACAATATGAAGGATAGATGGTCATCATTTCTTCAGATGGTACGTTTGACAGCACAGAGCAAAACTGCACAGCAACTGATGAGAAATGCTTTTCCTGGATCCAACATTTGGATAAGCAGAATTAGCAAGATGATTCGCAATAACACCATCTGGTGAATGAACGTTTCCTTCTTCGGCAACCAAGAACTACGTGCAACTATTAACACAGAACAAAAGAGAATTAAAGCAAAACTATCTTTTGTTAACGTCCAAATGTTACACAGAATGAACTAACGGCAGTTCTGGGAAGGCAGAAAAGAATAATCGTGAATATATGGGACATTTGAGCAGACTGTTCCTATGAATTAAATGCTGCAAACAGAACACACACTTGTACAGTGCAGCAGATAGTTTTTCAAAGAGTGTCAGTGCTCTCTGTTGGAAGGATGCACTGAGTCAAAGCTAAGGCTTATGGTTGAGGCTGGGCTCACCGTGGGAACTCCAGAGCCTGACAAGTTACACATCACGATGAGGATACAGACCAACTAAGAGTGTGTATCAGCATCCCTGCTATAAGCTGTGGAATGCTATCAAACTTTAGCCACAGAACGCCACGAGCATTGCACAATGAAAGAAAAGAGTGTTTCTGCAAAGTTTCAAGAAAACTCAAATTATTTTATTCACAAAAGCAGAAGTCAATAAAAATATAGATATCCTGATCAGTTTTACAGACCATGTTTGTTTCTCCTTTACTGACAGGCAAAGCAACATGGGAAAAAAAATAGTAACAAGCATTTACATCACAAACCATTATTAACACAGACTCATGTATTTGAGCAAATAGGTTTTAAAGTTTTTGCATATAAATACAAAAAAAAAAAAAAAAAAAATTACAGTTCCAACAAAACACTCCAAGAAAAACAGCTCATTTTTTCTTATTTTTGTGCTGCATTCTTTTTTCAGTGGCAGAAAGAGCATGTGCTGCATTATTGGCATTTAACAAATTGCTTCTGGCTTAAACCACAATTTAGCATGATCTCACTGCACGGCTTGAAGTCTTTCTTTGATTTCCAAGCCCCTTTGCAGATCAAGTTAGGATGTTCCTATTCGAGTCAAGTGATGCCCAAAACCCCTGTCCACACTGTTACTGACAGCATCAAGCAGCTCATTTTACTTCCAATATGGAGCACCCACAGAAAACTAACCGAAGACACCCTTGTTCAAACTTTTATCAGCTCAGTGTTTGCTTGTGAAGCCGGACACAAATCTCTCTTTGTAGATGGAAGTTTTCCTCAGAAATAAAAAAATGTGACATCCACAAAGTGTACGTAAGCATGGCTTCTTGGGACGATGGAAAATAACTGTGATAACTAACAAGGCATCCCATTTCTGTGGGGCTTTAATATCCAGCAAGCAGGACAGGATGTAAGTTTTTACATCCAGAAGAATTCTCACCAAGAGACAAAGACCACGTGCTACATTTATTCTTTCATTTCTCTTTTATTCCTTTCAACTGCAGAGAGACAAACAATTTGTACTCTTCCCATCATAAAGATGGATATTTTTTTTAAGCTTCCTTGTAAAGTTTATTTGAAAAAGGCAAAAAGAAAATGTTGCTATATTCCAAAAAGCAAGAACTGAACCAGGAAGAAAAAACACAGAACTACTGAAACTGTATGGAAGGGCTGTAGACAGTATCTCCAAAACTGCAGTTAGGACAGCTGAGCTGATGATTAGAAACTACAGTAATGTTTTAAGTTAGCTGCAGGCAGAGTGCTTTCTGCCTCTGCCTACCTAAACTCCATGAGCATCATAACTGGGAAAGAACCTTGCACTTGTTTTAAAACAGAAAATCTATTTTCATACATATCAACAATTCTTGCCATGTGAGAGCTACAAGAGATCATTTAAACCACTGAGCTCATCAGGACATGACTAACTACACTCACATTATTTCTCATCCTTTCCTCTCCTATCCCTTAAAATACTCAGCAATAAAGCATCGAAAAACAGGATTTCACACTTCATCTTGTCTATATCGTAAACAGTTGACAGTCAGAACTGAAAAACTTGTTGCCAACAGAAAGCCCTACCCTCTTATTGCAGTCTGAATACTTCTTCATCCAGCCTACCCCACGTGTTGAACTCGCAGTGACAGAACGGCACGCACTGCCTCCTCTTACAGAAGCTGAGAGCACACAATACCAGTCATCATTACACGGCGTGACTCCATCACAGTATTTGAATAGGACTACTTTTTTATTATTGTTATTTTTTTACAAAATACACATACAACACTACCAAAAGAATGAATTTGAAAAATAATTTCAAAATATGTAAAGCATCAGGTTATAAAATAAATAATGCTTTCAAGAAGCGTTCATGTTTTGCAGTTAAGAGGAGGCAGTTTCACTATTACCGATTTCTTATTCAACTTCTTTACAAGTTTCATAATTTACGTAGAAAAAATATACATGAAAAGAATTCTGGGATAATGTATAGGTTGGTTATGTATTATTTAATATAAATAAAAAGCCTAAAGCAAAACCAAAAAGAAAAACAATTACTTTATTTCTGTACATCAAGACTACAAACAGCATTTTAACACTCCATTTTTTACCCAACTTAAGAAATTATACATTTTTATATGGTTACCAGTAAACATCTTAAAACCACTCCATTTCCCCACATTTAAAAGGATATTGCTGGTTACTGCTTTTTAAATATGAAATTCAACTGTTTTCAGTAACCAGCAATTTTTTTTTTATTATTTTTTTTTTTTGCATAAGAGATGAATATAAAACTGATTGTAAATTTTGATGATTTAAAATATAAAACTAAAGTTCAGATGGATGCACTTATTAATCTTACAGTTTCAGCTATAATTCCTTTTTCAAACTGACTGCAGTTCCCATGAAAACACCCAGTGCCTACTACCAGAATCACAGAACCATAGGGATGGAAGGGACCTCTGCAGATCACCCAGTCCAACCCTGCCACTAAAGCAGGTTCCCTACAGTAGGTTACAAGTAGGTCAGAGGATCACTTCCTTCCATGTGAAACCAAGTTACTCCCAGAAATCAAGTTACACAAAGCAGCATATTCCACCTACTTCTCTTAGCAGAAATACTGCAGGCAAATGGATGTGAAAGCTGTCTAATCACAAAAAATAATGAATTTGACTAGCAACCAGAGCACAGATAGGGTATTTAGGATGGAAAAAAATGACAGGCGTAAGGAATGTGAACACCACAGGCTTCAAATATAAAAGAAAGCCTGATAACTTTGGTTTAAATAATTTTAATAGTTGTTACATGTGTACTTTTCTGAAGTGATTACTTTTCATGTACTGTGTATGCAACAGGAGGCTGATACATTAAAAAAATCTGTACAGGCACAAAAGACAGAAACAGAACAGAGGAAACGTGGATAGTCATTTCAGTTTATGACAGTGTTCAAGTGATAATGACACAGCCAAAGGTTGAACTCAAAATAAGCATGCGAATCTGACTTCAAGGTATTTCAGAAAGCACAAATAAAATATTATAAACATTTTATCTCAGTGCCTACCATCTTAAGGGAAGGTAGTATCAAACAAAATCAGTTATGTCTTACTTGCAATAGCTATGGTTTGTAAACAATTCTACAGCGTAAGTGAAGTTGTTAGGATATCAGTAATGAACATTTTCATCCTCTCAGTTGTGGGATATCTGCAAACATCTGCTTCACTTTCATCTAAAAGACTACTCACAGGATGTTGGCCTCATCTCATCCCGATGTGCTGCATGGTACACAACTTTAATGCCGGTTTGTGACTCTTATGTTTGAACAGCACAAAGCCAAAGCTTCATCTTTGGTTAATTTCACTGAGATGTCACTTTTTTTTTTTTTTTTTTTTTTTTTAAAACATGTGCTCTTTCTTCCCATGAACACAGAGAACCACCACACTGCAAACAGCATTCGGTATTTTGAATCACCAAGCAGTGTCAATTTAATATTAATTAAATGAAAGCTAACTAACAGATTGTGTTTAAAAATGAAACCTATTTGAGGGCATCTGATAAGACATAAGAGCTGCAGAAATTTACACAGAATTCCTTCAAAACTGTGTAGATACAGGTGCTGCTTATAGAGTAGGCACTGGTTCATTCCTCTGCAGATCATCCAAACAAGCATCAGCTTGACTCAGCTTAGTTCAAATCCAGCAGCACATTCAATGGCATACAGAAGCTTGCTCCGCATAAGATTTTCATCATAAAACTCAGGAAGCTTCAGCAAGTTCATGCAGGTACTTGCAGTAGGTAGCCTGTCTAAATCAGATCCTCCATTGTGAATGCAAAATGCAGGATATAACTCCTGGAAAATGCAAGAATAAAAAAAAAAAAAACCAAGAAATAAATACATAACAGCATAACAGCTGCCACAGTTTTCTAGGAAATAAATCATTAGATTAAAGACTGTCACAACGACATATTCAAATGGCATTTTCTTTCATTCCCAATGACCCCAAAAGCTCTATTGAATTGGGTAGTGCCTCTCCCTACTGAATTTTGATGGGGCTGAGATAACTAGCAGAACACAAAGCCATTTATCTAGTTCCAAGGAAAAACGGTAATTTGTTATTGTCCACATGCAAATGTGTGACATTACAAAACAGAGAAATGAAATGGAAATCACAAAACAGCATGCAGAAAATCCTAGCTGTATGTGAGAGAAACAAAGGATCAAGAACTTCAGACTCTTCTTGCAAAGCCAAATGCATATGGATCCTATTCTTCTGTAGGAACAAGAAAACGATGTGTTCCCATCACACTGAAGTTTTCGGAAATGCCTGCTGGGTTTAGGGAACTAGTGGCCACTCACAGGAATGGAGCTAAGTGGAAAAGGATGTTCTGTCATGCTTGAATGTTGTCATATTTGTCATTGTACAATGACATCCTATCATCTGTGAATTTCTCATGATCAACTAGATCAATCTATGCCCGTGACAGGGCCCCTCTCTCTCTCCAGAACAGTATTACATAGGGCACGGTAAGCACAAGCCCCAGATAAGCTCTACCTCCTTTAGATCTATGTAAGCTACACTGCCCCTGACTCAAATACTGTCTTAGTTTCTCAGGATCCCACAGGTGTTCAAGAATGAAATCCTGTGACACTGCAGGCCCCCATGCTTCTAAGATCTTTCCTAAACTCTCCATGTTCCCTGTCAGTCAGCATTCTCTGGTTTTGGAGGAGACTCCTTCCCCTTATCATGAATGCACTGGAATACATTCAGGGAGACTGAAAGCACACGCACCAAAATGAGCATTAACTCAAAATTTGAAAAATTTGTGTGACAAACAGAGAAGAAAGCCTGTGGATTGGTCTGAACATAGTCTTGTTTGTAAAATCAGCCATTCCATCTGGGATGTAAATGTCAAAATTCAAATCATACCACACTGCATGTAAGTACCACGCAGGTGTCTCCATCAGTGCCTTTATTTGGTTACATATCAACACAATTCCACAACAAGTAACCGTGACATTGATAACTGGCCAATAAGTCACGAGGAACATGATAGCTTTTAATTCCTTACACAGCACCCCCATGATAAAGGGTGAGTTTATCGCTAGTAGCTGCTAAAAGGGGCTAATGAATGGAAGCTGACGAGGAGACAAAAAAAAGGAAAAAGCACTGCCCAGACTAAGCAGTGCTCAAAGTTTACAAATATCCCAGAATACTGGCACTATGCCTGGGCTTTCAAGGTCAAGTTTTCCAGTAAAGAAACCTGAACTAGTGATAATGTTCCCTAATGTTTCCAAGAGCAGAGAGAGAGATTAGTTCTAAAAGCTAAGAAGCAGCTAATGCCCACATTCCCCACCAAAAACTGCCACAGAGTTAACTAGATCAATCTATGCCCACGACAGGGGGGCAGTAGGACCATGGTCCCCCCCCGGCCCCACAAAATGGGAAGGGAAAAGGAAAAGGGACAGGGAGATGGGAGCTGGGCTCAAGGAAAGAAGAAAAAAACAGAGGCAACAATCTATGGAGGAAAACTTATTTTACTATGATATCAGAATGCAAGATAACACAATATAATACAATCTAATTGAAATGGAGACTAATAAAGAAGATAAGAGAGAGAGAGAGAGAGAGAGTTCCTGAGACCGAGTCAAACCTGAAAAGCTTGGAATGGCTAGGAAAGCACCCTCAGCACCCACTGCAAGGCAGTAAGAGTCCACCCCACCCCGAAGGGCCAGATCCCATGGCTTCCATAATGTATAGGGATAGGTACTGGAATTGGAGCATTAACGCTTTAACTCCCAGTGCACTACACGATGTTATGATGTGGAATACTGAAACCAAAAACCATAAAACCATGACAGAATTACACTTTTTTTTCTTCCCAGGCAGTGAAGACATGTTCCAGGACACACCAAAATCCTGACAAATGAGATTTTGCTCTAGCTAATGAAGTGATGTGCTATGCCAGTTACAACACTCTTGTGGTTGAGTTTAAAAGTATTCCAATTTTATTAACAACTATTACATGAGCATTTACTTATTTCAGAGTGATGCTCTGAGGAGAAGAAGGATGAATGAGTGACCAGACTACATAGAAAGTATTACCACGCTAGTTCCTTTCTCTCACATCTAAACAAACAAAAGCCAAACTCCTAAACAAATAAACAACCCATGATCAAACATCCCCCTTCTATGTTCCAGAACATCAGTCTGTTGGCATACTCCAGCTACATCAAAAAAATTTTCAAGCAGATTAAGCCTTTGTTTTATTTATTTCCACCAAAATATGTGACTATTTTCTTTGTTAAATTCAATTGTCTGATACTACACGACTCAGGCCTTTCTTGAAATCCCAGACAGGGATTTCTGTCTGAACTAATCTCTCACTAAGCCTAAAATTTATTAATTTCAAGGCAAGCAGAACTAATCACTTGAGTAGACCTGTTCATGTGTAAGATTACACAAGTGTTTACGCTAGTGTAGTCTACAATTCTAGGTCAAGCAGTAATATATATTCTTCAAATGAAGAACTCTATTTACAGAAATTACACTGTTTATTCATAGTGATTACAAAATCATCCAGCTGTTAATGGGGTGTGCAATCACAGAAAACTGTAGTGATACAAATTTGTCAAATCCTGTTAATTGTGATATGATTAACCATGGCTCTGAAGAACAGACTTCTGTCCCTTAATTCTGTATGTAACATTTTGTTTCAATAAATAGGATTCCCTTCTTCCGAGAAAGACCTTACTGAGAAAGATATTTGTTACCAAAGCACTGCTTCTCCTGGCAATAAAGTATTCATTTGATCAAATGCTTGCCTAAGAAGTGTAGAACACGTCTGATTATTAGAAACTGAAAAAACCAGCCCAGCTCCAAAGGCAGAAGGTCAATGAGATTCTAAGCTAAATTATTGTTCAAATGGAGGCCTTAAAAAAAAAAAAAAGTATTTCATGGCTAAAATGCTGCATTTTTACTGTTCCTTTCAAAATGCTAATTGAATTCCTCTATTTTAGCTTTAAGAATGGAAAAATGAAGTTCTAAATTGAAATGTCACGCCAAGGGCGCCATTTTTTGCATAATTAAATACTGCACAGCAGGAAACTGCAATAGTTTGGAACTGAAAAGTATCATCAATTTATTATGTGACCTGATTTGAACTTAGCAATTTTCAACCATGCTTTAATGATTATTTTTTTTTTTTGTCTGTAACAATCACATTTATTAAACTTATTAAACTTTAATTAGCCTTAGCAAATGTTATTCTGAGTCTGGCAGTGAGAGTTCCAAATTTTTCAATGATGCAAATCTAGGTTGTGATGTGTGTAAGCTATGAATGTCAAGACATTCCCTAGCCTAGTTTGTCTAGTCTGGAGGGAAGAAAGCTGAGAGGTGACCTCAATGCTCCCTACAGCTTCTGAGGGAGGGGAAGCTGTTGGACTCAATCACTCTTGAAGGTCCCTTCAAACTGAACTGTTCTATCTTAATGTACATTAACTTTAAGAAAAGTGGAAGTTTATACATGTATATGTGTAATATACAAATATATATATACACACACAGAAATATATATATATATTTGTTGGTAAAGCCATGTTAACAAAAGACTTAGATAACCCACGTGAACAAAGCATAGGATAACTCAAATGGCAAGCACCACACGAGTAATTGGCTTAACTCCTGCCCAGTGCTGCCCAGCACATCTACAGAAATGCTTGTATTGAAAGTTCTAATGCTCAGAGAAACTGGCTAAGAAGTCAGGATGACGTATACCTTAAACCCCAGGAGAGGTGGCCGAGAGCAGCTTGTTACAAACTTGAGTAGTTTGCGTTTCTCCTCATCAGTGAACCTTTCTACAACTCTCCAGAATGTTTTTATTACAGGATGGTCTGCTGCATAGCCACCTATAAAGAGATTTAAATGATTTATAGATAAAACAGTTTTATGCAAGAAATAAACTCTTCAGAAAACCTACCAACAATTTTGAAAACATTGCAGAAAATCTTAACACCACAAGGTTTACAATGCTAACCCTGTCATTTAAAGATATCTTTGATTACTGCATTTCTATTGTCTCATTCATTGAATATCCACTGTTGCTCTCTCTTTCAGCTTCTTAACTACTAAGTAAACTAACAGTTTTAGTTATATTGATGGTAAATTCAGAGAAGAATGAAGACACCTTCTCTCTTTGGGCTGAGAAATAAATGACCAAGTCATTTGCAGACTTATATTCCAGGCAACCGGACACAATCTCTGACTAACACTCATTCAGAAAAGGAATTATACATCATCTACTTATTTATAATTACTCAAATGTAAGCACACAAAAAATAAACTGAACATCTGTCTCACGGCATTGATTAAATCAGACCCTACATCCTTATTTAAAAAAAAAAATAGCACAAGAAGCAAATTGATGCCTTATCAGTCATAACAGATTTTATTTATTTATTTATTACCTTAAGTAAAACATACACACCTGAATAATTTGTGAAAGATTTAAGGTCATCCAAACTAATAGGAACCTGGGCACCAGAGATCAAAACCTAACAATGAAGGAAACCAGACAATTGTATTAGATGCAAAAAAATCAACATCTGCAGTTTCAAACACGTTTGCTGCAGTTTAAAGCAGGAGTACCTGTATTTCCTGTTGATCAAACATTCGTAGCCATTCCAGATTCACAACGTTGGCCAATCCCTGACGGAAAGCCAGGCAGTGCTGTCGGATCTGTTTGTTCAGCCTGTAGTCTGCCACCAGGTGGATGTACGCGATGCGGTTAGCGCTGGTCACAGGAATGTCTTTTCCACCCGGCTTCAGCTCAACCACCTGTAAACACATCATCTTGATGATGTGATGTAAACTTCACCATCTTGATAAACTTTAATTCCATGTAGCTGGAAAACTGAACAGCAAGGCATTCTGATACGTGATTTGTGTTTTGAAGATCTACTAGAATATATTCCAGAATATTCATCTCAAAAATCCAAGTTACAAAAGAAGTTGTTTCTGCTTACTCGTGAGAGCAATGTGTGTGGTTTTGAGCCTTCAGACCCAGGAATGAAGCGGCAAACGCAGCTTCATGCAACTGCCAACCATCAGCTTCACTGAAGCGAGGTGCCCCAAATAAGCACCATGCTCATACAAGGCAGCCTCCTTCTGTCTGAATCAGGAAAGCTCTACTTGATGGGTTGTGCTTTTCTGGTTAACTGTTGGTGATAGTGAATGCTGCAGCATCACAGTATGGCAAAAGCAGTGTCTGCTAAGCCAAAATTAGGGTTCTAATTTACAGGATGGTAAGCATTTGCAATTCCTACTGTTGAAAAGACAAGTTATTTATGTTCAGTAATTTGCACAAAAACAAATCAACCCTAAACTTCTGGTTCTGCTGAGAAACACAGCTTTTATCTTTCATGTACGCACAGACACCTTAGCATGGAAAAAAAGTAATGGAGAAAAACAAAGCAAAACAAACATACTATAATTGCTTTTAGACATAAACAGTAATTGTTATCAAAGTGCCAATGATTTTTACGTATTCTACTCCTCATTACATGAGGATAATTTTGCTAAATAGCAGCTCAATCTAAACAGACTGTTAGAGTACTAAAAGAATAACTGAAAAGCTGGAATACATCCACCTTTGAAACCCTTCACAAAAATGCTTGGTTTTCCATCCTTCAAAGACAGGGATTTATTTATTTTTTACGACAGTGCTTTTCAGTCTGGGATAATAATCATTTCTTTGAAGTATAGAGAATTAAACACAGGAATAGTTTTTCTTTTGCAACACACTACCCAACAACACGAGCTGTTTAGCACTAAGGAAAACACAGCTCCCCCAAGCATTCACACTTGTATTAATTCATATCTTTAAAGGCCAAAAGAGAACATTAAGATCTATGAATATGACCCCCTATATAACACAGGCCACAGAATTCTATTCAGAGATTCCTGTCTTTTGCTTGAGAATTCCACTGATCAGTTTAAGCACATTTTTGAGAGAGAGGCAATCCTGGTGTAGAGACTTGATGTGATGGAGAATTCAGCACTTTCCTTAATAAGCCACAACAACCTGAATTGCAACAGGTGCTAAAACTATCTTCCTTTCCACTTTAATCCTTCAACTGTGATTTTGTTAAGCCTACAGTAAAACACCTCACCAGTATCCCACATCACCTCTGCGTGTGGGTAGTACCAACTGTGTTTAAGCCCTGTTCCCTAAGGATAAAGGAGCAATACAAAGGTGTGAGTTTCTCTCGCAGTGTTACGTCCTGGCAATCAACACTTTGCTTTGCTCCCTTTTGAGTGAGTTTCCTTCAACAAGACCCACTTGTATTTCAGAACTACAATGCCACATGTTCTTTTATCATTATTTCATCAAGTACAATTCATCTCTCTGAAGTACACATTGAATTTGGCCACATAAAGCATACTTATATCTCCTAACTCATCAAACTTAAGGTTACATAAGCCAACAATAACAAACAGTCATCATTTCACTTCCATACGATCATTCATGTAAAAAGATTCCTGAATTGACTTTCTCTCTAAAGTAACAAAAGGGAACTATTGGCCGTTGTTTTCGGATTCATCCAAGCAGCTGCAGAACTAAAAGTTCCAACTTCCCTTGCAGGTTAACAGACAGAGGAGAACACAGACAAAGCCAAGCATATGCTTGTGTTCTAATAGTGCTATCCTGACAGTGCATTAAACGAAAAATGCATTCAGGTTTAATAAAAGCAATTTTCCTATTCAATTTTGAAGTCAAGAACAGCAGTTACAGATTTCCTATTCAGAAAGATCACAACACAAGCTAGTGTGTCTTAAAGTTTTATCAGCTTGCATTTCATTTTTATCCATCCAATTTCTGCCACTAGATGGTGCAAAGCATTAACACACAGGTACAGGATGGAAGAGAAGCTTCCCAAAATGCAAATCCTTATTGCCATCACCATATTTTCTATCATGTGGATCTACATTAAAAAGTATATATTCCACTTTAATTTTGTTCATTATCAAAATAATGCATTTTAAAAAGCAATAGAATTATACATATTATTTAGGTAAGCGTTTGGATAATTCAGATATTACCATACAACACTGAATTTTATTCCAAACTCACAGAATATGTCTTCAAAATAAAGGAAATGTTAACATGGGATAGAAAAGTGTCATATTTTTAAAAATCTGCTAGAAAAGATGGTTTACTTCTAATTTTACTTTATCTTCTTAGAAATGTGAATAGAAGTGCTGCATTTGGCCTCTGACTCAAAGTTACAGACACTTTCAATTACTGCTGCATATACGTCTTATTAGCACTTAAAACTTTAAAGGTTATAAATTCAATTATATGTTACAGCAAATACATGCTCCTAGAAACTGCTCCCAGCTTACATTTGTATTCCTATTTAGAGAATGACCATTACAGTTTGTAAAAACAATGAATGCACACACATTTTTTGTACGGCTGCATTTCAAGTGAACAGTTTGGACAAGATTTTGACTTACATCTTCTACTTTGAACACAGAATAAAACAGAAATACATACACATACACACAAAAAGAAACAGTAGAAAACACTATTCAGGCAGAATGAATTCAGGAGATTTGTCTTCTGGCTCAGTGATAATTACCTACCACACAAAGCTGCTTTGCAATGTCTTTATGGGCAATCAGTGGCCACCCTAACAGCAAACAAAAGTAACTCTTGCACAGATGTGATGACTGGTTTCCCAGGCTCATGGTGAAGAAGGGAATACTTAGGGAGTGAAATAATTTATGAAAGAATAAGAGACGTATCACTTAGGCATTATGAAGTATGAAGAACCTTTCTTTGTATCTGAGTACTTAAGACAAGTAACCATTGTAACTTCAAAAAGCATTCATTCTTTTAAATAAAGTCAAGAACTCTTACAAGTCTGTTTTTAGTACATTTAATACAGGTGAAAATATTCTTTTCTCTTGGCTTTCAATCACTTTTTTTTTTTTTCCTTTCACACCATCACTAAAGATTTTCCCCATTCTGAAAACATGTAGTTAAAGGTCTTCTTTCTTCCCCTATCATCTGCCTTCCAGATGTTCAGGCAGGAGTCCCAGGTAGGAGACTGCATTTGAATGTCTAAGAATGCAGCTGCTGTAAGGATTATAAATCTGCCTGATCAACCGCAATCTAAACATTCTGCTTCTCAAAAGACTTCCAGTATCATCTCTCCAACCCACTGTATCCTCATAACGAAGCCACCACAGAAGAAACTTCCATGGTTATTTTTAAGACTTCAAAATCATCTCTCATGGAAATTTAAAGGCAAAGAACTCTACTTTCACTTGTCAAAATACTTCCAGTAACAAAAATAGCATTCACATCTGCTTTAAAAAGCCAACCGTGTCCTGACATCAATTTCTACACTCTGGACTTCACAGACACTGCTGTCCCATAGTTCTTTCGAGACTTTTTACTTGCTGCCATTTTATACAGCTGATCTAGCAGCTGAAAACTAGGCTGCTATCACTACATTAGATGGTTCTTCATCAAAAATTAAAGCTAGCTAGTGTTGGAAGGTAAGGTTGATGGCAGAGCTCCCCTAATTAACAGGTCTAATGTGCAAATTATTAAGTACCTTTTTCAACTTCTGGTGAATGCACTTTGACAATAGTTTAATGGGATCTAAAAGCACATTACAGGATTGGAATCAATACTCTGATAATAGAATTTCTATCTTCTACCACTGACAGGCAATAGAGCCCCTTCTGAATGCGTCTTTCATTGCAGATAATGTTTTTGTGCCACAATTGCTGGATGGACACTGTCACAAGGATGGCTATTTACAATGATAGATTTATGATGCATTTATTGAGCACTAATTCATTCGTCACTAAAGTGGTTGTTTAGATCAAAACTGGAGATAATGTACATTGAACATAAGGAGTGCAAATTAAGCTCTTTTCCCAAAGTGAATTAGCCTTACCTTGACACAATCAATTAGTATGCAATGGTTACAAGTCAAATACCAGACAGAGTATTTATCCACAAGGTTTATTAAAATAATGAAATGAAATAGAAGAAGCAACTTGTTGCATTAAAACACAGTAGATATTGAAAAGAACCAATTAGTTGTACTGAACTACAGTAAAATACAGTCTCATTAAAAGACAGTTAATACTTCAAGAGTATAGTGTTCTCTCTCCAAGTATAAACAGCAATAAAACACCAGAGTACTTCATTTAACCTATGTTTCATTTAGTTACTCAAAAGCTCACTATTACATTTAACCTTTCTTTTAAGGTTATGCCAAGTAATGAAGGCAAGTACACAGTTTTGTAGCAGTAGGTGCTGCTGGCATCACGTCTGTCCTGGATCTCCTTGTGTGTTATTTCTGAGCTACTTCACTTTTTGATGTCCTTCTACCCTACTTGTTGAGGTTGGTTCTAACTTGCTAGTATGGCTGATTTTTTGAGGATGTATGTAGTGGACATACATAGTACAGAAATTACCACCTTCACAGAAGGTACTAGCAACTTTTAATTTATAATTAGAGGCAAAATTGGATTGCATAAATGAAATCACACAGAATACACACAGTAACAAACCTCCCCTCCCAACAAGAGGGGAGGCTTACACTAGAAACTGTCATCTTGTACGCTTTGCAACCCAATAACCAGATGCACCTATAGCACAGAAATGAATTCAGTATAATCAGGCACTTACAGTCACCCTCCGTTATGATCCAGGAACCCAAAATCTGAGGCTATTATTTTAAAACTGCAATACAATCCACGTTTTAAGAGCTTCCTAAATGACGGGAAATTGGTAACAGGAAAGTAAAGACCAAGTCTAAGCCTGATGCTGTTAAGACAAGTCCTGGACAGCAATCTGGCTATGATTTAAACAGCAGTAAAAGAATCTGACATCACAATTGCAAAGCTTTGGTACTGCATCTCAGCAGTAGTACTGCTTTTGTGCAAGCACGTCCAGGCCATGTCTTCCTCAGCCAGCAGGCAACCCAAAGAGAACTGGATTCTCACTTTGAGAGTTTTTATTTCCTCCACAAGAAATAAGACCTGAATCAGGATACTGTCGCACATCATAATGATGTCAGGTCTGCTATTTGACCCAAATATTTATTGAAGAGCATTGAAAACTGCCACAAGCACACAATTCTAATTTCTCAATAGTCAAAGAGGGAATGTGACAAAGGAGATTAACTGTATTACCACACGTCAGCATGCTTTTCAAGCACTACTGACGTTTGCTTTCTACTGTGAGCACAAGTGATCATTAGCCTTCACAACAGAGTAAATAAGCCATAGTCAAGTTGCATAGTACAACTGCAGTACGAACTCAAACCTATGGACCTAAATAATCACTTTCAGAAGCAGTGAATCCCACTCCTCTGACTCACTGGTGGCTCAGTCCCTCAGAAAAATGAAGATGTTTTTCTCTAAAACTTAAGGTTTCATCTCAGGTCCTCTCCTCTGAGTACTCATCAGCTGAAACAACCCTTATCTCACAAGAGCTCACTTATTTAAAAGCACCAGTTTCTAACTCCAATTCCAAAACCAAACTGTTCTTCTGTAGTCTACTTATCACCTAATTTCTGCAATCGTCTGAAGTGGAATCAAAGAAACACTATTTCATTCAAGAAGTTATGTCAGACAATAGAACTTTCCACGTCTGTTAGAAAATCATCACTATCATTTATTATTTAAAACTCCCAGACCCTTCCTATCATCATCAAAAGCACAGTTCCAAAGTACAAAGTTAGTTATTTACTACTTCAAACACTGAGGCAGAATCCTACAGATGCCTCACAACAGACAGCACCTGTAGCAGTTATTCCTTATCTCTTTCAAAACAAAAATAAATTAGTAGAGATATTCATATTTCATCAGTAAAGAGAAAAATAAAAACCAACCAACCCAAAGCCACTCTTTACCTGTGCTTCCCCGAGGTCATTGTTTACTACAGTGAAGTTTAGTCCGAGTTCTTCTACATCTCCTTCATAGCTCTTCAGAAAAAGCAAGTTTTTGTACATTTCTGGATCCAATGAAGCTAAATGATGAATGTCAACATCGGCACTTGTCCCCAGTAATTTGGAGAGGAAAAAACTAGCAAAGGGCAGCTCCACCAGCATATTTTCATAAAGAGCCTGAAAAGCAAAGCAATTAAAAGCATTTTACATTTCACTGTGATACATGCAAGAATTACAAATGCTGTTGTACAAATACAAATTACCAGCTCAGTAATTTGGTGCCTGAATAGGATCTTCTAGCATGGCAATAGCACAGATATTGCATTAATTTAAAAATTTCAACTTTTTTTTTTTGTTTTGAAATTTGAACGTCTTTGTGAAATAGAAAGCTCCAAAATTTTACAAATTAATGATGTGACGACTTAAAATGCAAGGTCACCACTTATTTACTATTGATCTTCGTGTCCAAAGTATTATAGCAAACAGGAAGAACATAAATTGTACAGATTTTTTTGCAAGAAAAGCTATGCTTCTAAAAAAAAAAAAAAAAAAAAGCTTATACAGATTCATTGCTGCGTATCTGGATGAATGATGGTACTCCTGTTTACTGCTGCTTATGTTTAAGTGGAGAACTCAACGCACCTGTACTGTATGCCCTATTCTTCCTACACCTGACACGTCCTACACACTGCCAAATATCTACTGAATCAGAAATGAGTCTGAGCTGAACTTGCAGTATTTGTCAAAGAGAAAATGTCTATTTTTAATGTAAAGTTCAAACTTCCTCAAGGATTACTGAAAATGGACAAGACATTTAGAGAAACTTTTCAAAAGAAGAGAGATGGAAACTTTATAGCTAGGAAAAGCAAGCATGACAACATGTAGAGAAAGCTCACACAAGTAAGACAAACATAGAAGACCTTCCCTTTCAAAAAAAAAAAAAACAAACCCAGAAATGCACTGCCTACTTATGGCTTTTCCTATTGTCCAACATATTTGCCACACCACACCTCATATTTTTATACTATCATTACTATCACGGCCAGGCTGATGAGGAAAGGCATCATCAACACAGCACCACTGTTTGCTCTTTGCTAAAGCTATGTTTTGGCATTACTTAATTCCTCTGTAGCCTTCTGCAAGCTTAGTAAACATATAAATCAGGACAGCACAATGAACATAAAGGAAAAGAAAGAATAAGTGTAGCTGTGATCACTAAATGATATTTCAAAGACTTCAAAAAATATATACTCAATTCCTTAAACTTTTGAACGAACAATTCTATGAGGTGAGTTAGACCTTGCAGAAAGAATTGATAATAACGAGTTCAAAGCCAAAGGGTGCATTATATTTAGAGCTATATGATTTATTCAAGGTGTAAAGTCGAAATCCTCATTTGTATAGTTGACTTTAAAAGCAAACTAGAGGGATAAATCATTAATTTGCAATGTATAAGGTCAGTGTTTGCTGTTCCTGCATTAGTAACAATAAAGCTATTGTAATTCTTTAAATATATCAAAGCTACCCAGATTTAAAATGGGATTCCATCTATGACTCATAAAATGTAAATGCAGAGGTGCAATTTTTTACACAAGGCAGGTTTAAGCCTTCAGAGCATTTAATATACAAGGACTAATAAATGATAGCACTAAAAACTATGATCACATCAGCTAAATGGATTATAAATTAAATTTCCATAATGTATGCAACTGAAATACAAATGTAGACATAAATCAAGGTATTTTCTAAACACAGGTTAATTACACAAATTCAAAACCTGTCTATTTTTTATGCAAAATAATCCACTTAGCATTTTTCAAACTGGTCTGAAGTCTCAGCACTCGCCACACTTGGTCCTAGAAGCCTATCAATAATTCCATGTCAGGAAAAAACCAGCAATAGGTATATTGAAGAAACTTGTATGTTATTTTTCAAGTGTCTGTCTTTTATGAGTGTTTATTGCTAGAAATTGTGCCAAAATGATTTGAAATAAAAAGGATTAATTATACTAGAAGCTTTTTAATATAAGTGAGTGCAGCTGCAATGCAATTAATGCAAATCGTGATGCTATCAGGAAAATAAATGTGAACAACATCACTGGCTATTTCTGTTTGCTGCCAAATAACTTCAGTAATTTACTACATTAAGAATCAATAAAAAAATAATGCTTTTGAAATGCATCGCTATTAATCTTCAGGTAATTCCAAAGTGAACATTTATAACTTCATCTAAAAACTATATAAAGCATTTTTAAATAAACTGAATTTTGCAACTTGAAAATAACTTTAATTACTACCACTCCTTTTAGCTAAGTAATTGCAAAGTTAGAAGCAAATTATTTTTGGAAACAAGACAAAGAGTAATGTTTTAATTAGTATAAAAGTCAACCTGTCCTAATAAAGCTGAAGAAAAAAAGGTCACTAAAAAGCTGGTAAATACTGTCATGAACTCCATCCTGTAAGGCGCAGCCAGCACGACAGATGTAAGGGGAGAGATCCACTCCTACTTAATCTCTTAACAAACTGTCTTGGGAGCTGTTACCCAGTTTTCAGCTGTTTCCTGCCCATCCAGTTCTCTGAACTGGCTGTCTGCAACAGGAACATCTACAGGTGGGGAAGCACGACCACCTCTTACAGAGGTAACCAGCTGAGGGGATGGACGAGCTTCAACATGAAGGCCCAGCCAACCCAGACCATCCTCAGATTCTATGTTTGCATCAGGAGCAGCTGCACGAGCAATGCAGCACTCCTAGGTGACACATTCAAGGTCAGGGACGGGGCTCTGAGCACCTGATGGAGCTGTAGGCATTTCTGCTCACTGCAGAGAGTTGGACCAGATTGCCTTTTAAGGTCCCTTCCAGCTCAAACAGTTCTATGAGCCTCCTGGCTGAAAGGGCCAACCTGGATTTCCCAGCACTATTTTAAACTTACCCAGGTTAGATTATAGAAGCAGCTTTCAGTTAAAGGAACTTCAGACATTTTCCTTCTCCTGCATGCATGAATGTTTGTAGAACACATCAGGTGATTAAAAAAAAAAACCAACAACAAAATAAAAAAGCCTGCTGTGGTCATTAAGTTGACTTCACACACAAAGCACGCGGTCTGAAGACTGAAGTTTCTCTTTTTAACACGATTAGCTGGTTACAGCTACAGTAAAGCATTTGTACACAGTCTGGTTCAATTAAAATTGACTGCAATATTGACTACTTATGAAACCCTTTACTTGTTTCAGCAACACAGATGACAATCTGGTAGTCTAAACTGAAAAAATATGAGGGTATTACATTGAGATACTTAAAAATACACTGAATGCATTTGTTAATTATCTGTGATGTCAGGAACAGGGCACAGCTCAGGCAAACAACTTTCAGAACATAGGCATGTCAGCAGCTCTAATGCATGTCAGCCACAGGCAGCATCTAGTAAGGCAAGTAGAAATACGCAGCACGCAGTTCTCAGGGTGAGGAGGGCTCTTCCTTGCTTTCAACATAACAAGAACCATATCTGAGCGGGACTGTGGCATCTACCAGAACACTATCCAGGCACTACAGGTCCCACAAGGTACCTGTTCAGGTACACCCACCAGCTTGTTTTAAAACTGGACAAAGTTTGGAACAGCCAAGTCACCTCCTACAAACACACAGACACATCAGCATCACATAGGAGAGGGCACAGGACAGCACAACATGCTGAATGAATCTCCAGTTGTGTAAACAACTTCATAGGTGAGCCAACTAAACCTACCTGACTGTGAAGCAGCCTTACTGCTTTTACTTATAGTTTCAAGTCTACAATTAATTTTCTCTTTTATTATTTCAACTAAACTCTTTCTTGGTAAAACTAATTAATCACACTTCCTACCCTATATTAATCTTTCACAGCCCAGAATTGCATACTAAAACCTAAACAATGCTACAGTCATACCCCTAGAAAGACGCAGGGCTTATGGGCCGAAGCAGTAAATGATGGGGCTTCAATTCAGTTACTTCCCTAATCAGCCCTCGAGACCTCAACCCCTTGTATTTCAGTCATTTTAAACAGTTACTATTAAATAATACTTAGCACTTACAGAGTGCAATAGATCTTCAAAGCTGTACAGAACCATTAATTAAAATGGTAGAAGAATGGCAAAACCATTACAACTTCCTTCTACTGCATTATTTATATTCTATATATATTTCACCATAGTCAAAAATGCGCTGCGACCAGCAAATGCTTTTCTATCCCAACGATAAAGATAAAACTAAAAATATAAGATCCGTTAAAATTGACATATGCCCACATTTTTGAAGCACTTTTAAGGTTACTGCTTAGTAATTTTAAGGTAAAATAATTTCTTCAAGATAGACTCATAATATCCTTTAAAGTTGGCACAATCAAACTGATACGGCAAAAGAGGAAAATAAAATTACTTGTATTTAATGCATGCCACAGTACAGCATGTCTGCTGTTTGGTAGCTCCAAGTCACTTTTTCAGTTCTCTGAGCTCCGCAACAGAATGATTTGTATCACATTAGTAATGGATAATACAGTACAGTAACTTCTCTATATGACTGCAAAAATACATAGCATGCTTATTATTCAAGTACTGTTTTCTAAAAAAGGACTTCACATTCCTACAGCAAGATGCCTATGAGAGAGCTTTGTTCACACCTCCTGCAGCAGTGTCAGTATTCCCAGCTTCTAAAATATTATTTTCAGAAACAACTCAAGCCACGTGCAACTCATATTACTTTTGATTTCCCACTCACTGGGAATTGGAAAGTCAACAAGACACATCCACAGCAACTCGGAACATCTTGGGTAACAAGAGGGGCTTGCCTGCCAGCTTTGCTCTGCTCAGCGTACAGACCCAAAACTGATTACAGGAATTTGGTGAGCATAAGGTGAATTCACCACTGAGTCATGAACACATCACCATTTAAAAGCAAGGATGCATTTCCAGGCACTGCTGGAGCGTAAGTTTTAACAACCTTGAGTTCATTTTCAACTTAAGAGTGTCACGTCACTCAAGTAATTTTATTCTAAGAATTTAGAACGCAATTTTATTACATGAAGTTTTATTACCAAAATGGAGTGTTTCAGGAATTTTGGTAGTAGCAGAAAATCATCATTCAGCAACTAGGTACTTTCAGACTATTTTTTTTTTACAGGAACAGTTACCTCTGTAACTTAGGC